TGAACTGACTCTTTCGCCGAAATCTGCCTCACGTTAAAGACATACAATGTTAAAAATACAATTCTATAGCACTAGCACATCGTCAAATACAATTAAATCACGACCACGTTTGTACCGTAAATCGATTCAAACGTTCGATGAAAATTATTAGTACTGTACTTCTTTTAAGTAGGCCTAGCGTTGAATTGTTATAAAATACCACTTTAATAATCATAGTTCAATAATCATCAATATTTCAAGTTAGAGTTTCTATAATCATGATAGCGTGTTTTAGCTTATTTATAGGCCTGCCAAACAGCAGTTCTAATTAGTTGATTTAAGATCGGACAGCCAATTGTTGGAAGTTGAATGCCCGCCAACATTTGTCACTCAAATCTGAGTGACCTATTCATTGGATTGAACTCATTGACACTATTTAATCTTCGAGGCTTTGATTCAGTTTAATTTATGACAGCTATAAACTGTTTCCACGCAAATGGCGTCATTATTCTGTTTTGGTTTCAATTAATAAATTAGTGAATTGTACCGATTTTTTATTATCTTATCTAGCTTCTACTGATCGTTCTTATGAATTTTAAATACAATTTTCTTTTACAATTGGAACGTTCTAAATAAATACACAATGGATTGTAATTGTATTTCTATCAGAATTTCATTTCCAAACGCTTCTTTCTCCTTAAATATCTCATTAATGTTTATACATTTCTACTAATCAAATCTATCAAATACCTTCTGCTGAAAACAAAATATTTCAGTCCAATCCTGGAATCTATATCATAATTTCTTATAGGCTATGCTGTAAAAATAATAATGTAAATATATTGTGTCTACTTATGAAAATCATTATTTTCCATCACTATCTTTGGATACTGAAAACGATAACACTTGGACCTGTTCTTAAATCAAAAACAACAATGTTGAGTGAGTTACTATTGATTTTCCTTTCCTTTTTCACATTTTCATTTTCGATGTTATTATCGTTACCCATAGTTAGTTATTCAGGGTATGTATTTATGAAGTTACCTTACAATACGTTGCCTTTTCAATACGGAGGCCAAGGAAACACTAGTTTTAGAGTTTTTTAATGAAATATATAACAAATAGAACTTCAAAAGGGTTATTCAAATTGCCTTTGAGTAAAAGTCTGGCTATACTTCTATTTGTTCAATTGGGATTTTTTCTACGAGGATTTTATTTTCCCTATCTAAAGTCCATTTCACGAGTTTAATTCCAGTCACTACAAAATAAAATCCAACCTTGAGGATTGCTTCCATATTTCCCCGCAGTAATGTTTTATTATAAAGAGCAGCGACAGATTTATTTTACAACTAACTTAACTTACAAATAACCGTTGTATTTTATCACAAAATGGCCAGACGCAATTCTATAGAGAAGTAAGGTTTTCATCTTCGTCGTATAATTAACATTTCCGTTGAAGCCTGACTGTTATCTAGTGTCGTGGTGTTGCTACTGTATCTCCACACAGACACAAGCTACAAGGCTAGGTCAGTTAATGTTATGTGTGTGGGTTTCGCGAACCGTATGCAGATGGCGTCAAACCATTTCCTAGTTTTGCCGGATGTTGATAAAGAGCTAGCATTGTATTGTTGATAAAAACAAACTGGCAGAGTATGATTCCGCACGCATTGTTGTAGAATTTGCATCAAAACGGCACACTGCGAATTAATTTGATGTATTATCGAGTAACGTATCTAGGCCACTTCCTGGTTTTTTATAAAACAAAGCTAATACATTAGTCATTTTTCACAAAGCTCTCTAAACCCATTACCAATAATAACGGAGTATGTTTTATATCCATGCCAATATGATCAAATATTAAATATATACTAGTTTGTACCGCATTTCACAACCATTTAGAGTTCGTTTTAGCGAATTTCCCATATAGGGAATAAGCTGTTACCGTACCTAAACACGCCTCATTAAGTTTCATTTAGTAGCAAAACTAAGAAGGCCTACTGGCCTACTCATGAAAATTAATGTTATTTAAATGTGAAATAAATCGGTTTGCTGGGGCGGGGTATTTATTTCCATTATCATGCTGTGTAGGGAAAATACAGAATTATAACTACAATTAATCGATGTTCGCGTTTACGGGTTACATTCCATGTCGGGTCTATTAGATGCTCTTGCCATTATCATACAACAATCGCCTTCTGAGCTATTCGAGTGGCCGCGATCTTTAGGATCTGCCTATTATAGACCTAGACCTACAACAGTCACACACACACACATACGCTGCTGTGTAAACAGCTGACGCATTTCCTGTCTACATTGTGTTTACTGAATGTACACATTGTCGTTGAATGGATTCTACTTGTATTTTAGAAGACAGTTGTAAGATGTTAATGTAAAATCATATTTAGAAGTCAATCACTTCAGTCAATGGACTAAACATTTTATTTGTCTATCCTTATTATTCATACATTTTTTCTAACCTCTTCTAAAATTGTTTAGAGGTGATGAGAGAGAAAGTGTTGGTGTTATTCAAACGCTTTTTGGAAATACATTATTTCAATTCATAGTACCACAGACAATCTAATTATAAATAATAATTATATCTTGCCTGGAGGTAATGGATGCAGTTATTTATATATGTTACTAAAAGTAAGATTGCACAAAGATTTTGATCTTTGAATAACCTACCGTAACCTGTTGTCTGTGTGTTGTACAGTACCAAAATAGAAAAAACCCGTACCTATAAAACACTAATGAAGGGGGGGGGGGTCATAATGTAAATTACATTGCATGCAAAATACTGGATCCTTCGACTGATAATTTAAATTGAGCATCATGTTTCAATAAGCCACTGTTAAATAAAAAATGACAAATAATCAAACAACAGGCTGAATACTCTAATGATAACAAGCAAACATTCCTCATATAAGAGTATAGGATAGCAGACACTAGACGCCATTCCAAAATCACCTTTTACTGTGCATTGTTCCTCCCAAATAACTTCTGTTTCCGAGCAAATATATATGTACATTATCTCCAATCATTTCCCTGAACACAAGCATGACACTTAGTCAAAAAGGATCATCCCTAAGCCAAAGGCCAAAGTAGGATAGAATCAGCCCCAAAATATAGATTTTTTTGGATTTATTTGACTTTTACACTCCCTAAACAAGTTTCTAGCTTTTTACCCAGCATGTAAATAATCAAGCTATTGTTCTTATCTCATTTGCTTCTTCAGTTGGTTATGAGATAAGACTGAACAACTGTTAAAATCTGTATACAGCATTGAAACAAAGTACTTCTCTTTATCTAGATTCAGAAGAAAATTACTACAAAATGACAATTTTAAAGTATACTTTTAAATGCCGGCCACACAAATTAAAGTTACTTATTAATAATGTTGATAAATATAAAGGAATAAATAAGCTGATTATAAACGTAAATGTATTATAAATAGGTCTACATTAAATACTGTCATGACATAAAACTATGGCAGATAGAGGCAATTCTCTTTTGGTAAAGAAATAAAATAAAAATCAACACTTAAAAAGTAAAAATAAATCAGTATTGGTAAAATTTATGTTATGGAATACTTCATTAAATAAACTGAAAAATGAAGAATTTTAAAAAGAATCCTGTACGTATTAATAAAATGACAAATTTTACAAAACATGTTCTGACACTCGTTTTCTTCTGCTTTTAAATCAAATTTGTCTTTATGTTTGGCTTTTACACAGACCTTGGCTTTTACTCCTCTGTGACTTTTGTAAAAAAAGAGAATATATATTGAACATTTGAAAAGAGTGATTCCCAGTGAATGGCATTGTATATAATTTGACTATTATTTCGTGTGTTTTGCTTACCACATGAGTTCTCTGTGACACTACATAGAGACAGAACAGTATTTAGGTCACCAAACCATATAATTGGTTACCAACGTTCAATTATCACTCACCATTTCTGTCAATTGAGTGTTAGTTATGCTCTGTTCGGTTATCAGTAATAGTAATCTTAAGGAATTGTTCCTTCCCTCGTAGTGTGATATGATTTGTGTGGTTTTTTTACTGACTGAAATCAGCTGTTTCATTAGCCAAGATCGTTTGTTTAAAGCACAATGATCAGGAACAGCTGGGTACAGTTTACCATCAAAAAGCTACTGACTTTTCTCAGGATCGATCCAGCAAACTTATATGATTGGTAGGCAAGCACTATTACCACTCAGGTACCCAGCCAATAGGTATCTCATGCAAGGATAACTTGCTCTTTATTAGAAAATTCATTCAGAAATAAAACCAGACAACAAATTAATTATTCATCCTAAAAATACATTTAACCTCCAACAATCCTCCAATCTTTCCCTCGTACACCAATCTTAACTAAACACAAGTACCATGTTCTTAACAAATCACTCAACAAAACAAATAATCTATAATTTTTTAAGATATAAAAGTTATAAAAAAAGAAAATATGTAGGTATACTATTCAAGCTGTTGCAGCTTTGAATAATCATTACAGTGGCCTTCCCACTTACTTTTCTTGCTCCCATTCCACAAAGGAACCCATACTCACAGTAACAAGCTCAAGTCCTTCTGTTAACTTAAGTTGAGATGATTTATAATTGCACATAATTGTCTCATATTAGCACTACCACTTGAGAACTGCACATTGCACACCATTATTGCTGTTAGAGATAGATTCTTTAGGTCGTTTGCAGTTTGCAGTGTCATTGACAAATTTAGCTTTTGAAAAGAAATTTGAGCAAGCCTATTCCTTGCTCGTCCCAAGAGTATTATATCGTCTATAAGTATACAAGTACAGTATATAGGCTTAAACCGCACAGTCTTTCCATAAACAAGTTTCCTCTATATATTACTTTTTTTTCCTTTTGGTGAGATGGATAATAAATAAGATTCTACTGTATTTAGAATTTATCATAAGATATGAATTATGCTTGATAAAGAAGTATTACGGTATGTAGGAAGCTCTTATCATTCACCATAGTCTAAAGATACATATTGTTACAGGAGAGTTCGGCACATACCAGATGTTTCAGTTCAGTCTCCACATACTAGCGGCCATGACAGCTGGGGTACACATGCTCTCATTGGTGACTGTAGCGGCAGTGCCTGACCATAGGCAAGTACGAAGGGAGTGTCAGTCAAGAGTTAAGAATCAGTGACCAAAGCATTGCAAGCAGTGCATGTTTCTCTGCCATCAGAGTATGCTGGTCTTTATGACCATTACCGATCTCCCTCTACCATTTTCGCACATTTTGTCCGATACCATACTTGCGATGGGAATCAATCAAGGTACCTTTGGGCCAAAAAGTTCAATTATTGGTAGAAGAGGGTTTATTACTGTGTATATTACCTTCTTTTTACTCAAACATGCACCTAACTTTGCATCAAATTTTACTATCTTTTCAACTTATACGTTTGTGCATAAAGAATTGTGTATGCATATATGTATATAAAAAGTCTTACCTTTTATTTCACACCATTTATAAACTCTTTCAAATATTTACCAACACATCACTGTCTTGCAGATGCCACATACCGAGCATGGACGAAAACGACACATTGATCTGGAATGACACGTTTCACGGGAGAGAGCCTGAGGAGCTGAGCTGGTACATTCCTCCGGGGACTCACGGGAACTTGGATAACTGTCGGATCATCAACAGGGATAGTAACAACCAGAGTGAGATGTGTGATACGTGGGTGTACGACACTCAATACTACAAATCCTCCAGGGGGATGGAGGTGAGGAGAGAATATCTAGTCAGTCCATCACGTTGTGGATTAAGTTAAAGAAATATTTAATTCAACAATTGTCCATAAAACAATATTAGTTTTTGTTTTTAGGTAATTCAAGGTATATCAAGTTTAGTTAAAAATAAAAAAATGTATATAAAACCTAAATTTTATTTACTTCCGAATTAGTTTAAAAATGAAAATCTTGGTCACTGAATGAGAGCATAAAGAGCTCTATAAAGCACTGTATTTTTTAAGGGCTTATTTTTTCTTCCTCTAAAGGTTTTCATTCTATCAGCTTAAAGTAAATTCTATTAATCTGTTTGTAATGCAATTATATCTGTCTGGAGCAACGTTCATAGCTGTTTTACACAAGAGCCATACAATAAACATGAAGAAAATGTCTATGAAAAATATTAATTACAGGAGGAATTCAATCAACGCAAAATATAACTCTTATAATGGTAATCAATCGATGTTTCCCTTCAGTCAGATACTTTTAATAATTTAATTTTTAATATTTTCCAGTGGAATTTTGTATGTAGAGACAGATGGAAAGGAGCTTTGGCCAAATCTAGTTACATGTTTGGAGTGTTTGCTGGAGCTGTCACCCTGGGCAGCATGGCTGACAAGTATGTGATATTACTTATAACTTATTATGTTTAATGATAAAAATTTGGAGACTGGTCCACTGATAAGGGTACAGCCATACTTAATGCAAAGGCTGTTTTATATGTTTATCAAGATATAGTAGTTTCTTTTCCCATGGGTCGAGTATTAACTAGAGTCGAGGGCGTTAACTGTACACTTTCCTCCCTTAAGAACTTTGAATGTAAATAATACCTCAGTATTAGAACTTATAATAGCAAAACAAGATGGGAGCCATTTTGGGATTATGACTTACTAGCTGTACCCGCGGACTTTGCCCCGTTTAACTTCATAAGTATTCGCATGGCTCATTCACGTCCTGGTTGAAGTTCGTTCGCTACGCTCACTCACCTTTAGGTTGGAAATTAGCTGTTGTCATAAATTAAAAAAAATAATAGTGCTGCACCCTGTTGGTAATTCTTGTAACTTTTATGCTATTGAACATCATAGAACAGAACCAACTTGTTTAATTGAAACAGCTGTTAACACGTTCGACGCCGCGGTCATTGCCACAGACCGAGGTATACATTTGAATCTTACGCATAGACCGGCTGTCACTTGGTTAACAGTACACACAGACCACGGGCGAAAACCTAGAAAACAGCGATCATTTACATTGTAATACGCTACAATCGTGTTTTTAAATAATTTATTCTTGTTTTTTTTTGTATTTTGTATAACCTTTTGTAATGTCGCATATTTGCGACGCCCGGTCTACAGCTAAGACAATAGTGAAAATTATCATAGTTTTCTTGAAATAGACCATACGTCGCATATATGCGACAGTCCATTTTTGTTTGTGTTTTGAGGTGAAAGTAAGTAAACAAAACAGATTATTCAAGAACAGTTTATAACTGAACAAATATAAAAGCTACATAGGATAATGCAGCACACATACATACAGTAATGCAGGAAAGTAAAGACCAGTTTTTTCAACTATCATTATGACGTCAATCATCATATCCACAGACCGAGCGACGCAGTTGTGCGTCAGACATCTCTGTAGACCACTGCAGGCAATTCAGTGCCTTCAAATAGACCGTTACAAAGATATACGCATTTTAATAACATTAGAACCCCGACGCAAATATGCGACGGCAGTCTATTTTAATGTGACTAGCCATCGCATATATGCGACGACAGTCTATGAGTGGAAACCGGCCGTCGCATATGTGCGTCGCTGGTCCATGTGAATGGAAAATTTCGTACTATTGCTGTAGTGAACGTGTTAAGATTCATTAATTCCTTTTAAATATGAAAAATCATAAGATTAACATGGGGAACTACAGAGCCACTGGGGCGGAGCCCGAAAGGGTTTTTGAGATAAGAATATGCTTTAATGTTAATCGGGAATGTGAGCTATCATCATGCCAAATTTCAGCCCAATCCGTCCAGTAGTTTATGCGTGATTGAGCAACAAACACACACACAAACTCATTAACTTTCAGATTTATAATATTAGTAAGATAATGGTAGGCTACACAACAGTTTTCATTTTTGAACTTGTTAAGTTAGTAAAAAAAAAATTGTGCAGTATGACAAAGAAATTTGTACTCTGGCCAAAGTTTTCTCGGTTATTTCACAGCTTGGGCTTCGCTTCAGTCAAGTTTTTACAAGTTGATATAAGCTGATCCAAAGGTGCCAAAATAAGTTAGTAACTGGATTTTGTATACCAATGCAAAATTAGTAATGTCACTAATGAACACTCTTTGATTTCAGGTACGGACGTAAAACAATCTTCTACATTTCAGCCATCATGCAACTACTTCTGGGTGTTGGAGTAGCTTTCATAACAGAGTATTACTTATTCCTCGCAATAACATTCCTGTACGGAATATTCGGATCAGCTGGATCGTACATCACAGGATTTGTTTTGAGTAAGTTTCTATAACATATAGACTATTTTTTTGTGATGAGTTTTCTTTTCATTCAATGATCGGAATAGATTTCTGGTACCTGGTTTGTCATCTTGGATGTATGGAACGAAGCTTCAAAGGGTAAACACAACTCCGCTTTTCTACTGAGGTGGGTGGATGTAGTGTAGCTATATTAATTGGAGATTAAAATCATGAGTGACAGATAATTCGTCATGTAGCAGTGGTGGGTAGTGCTACACTATAAATCACATAGTCAATGATTGCGTTTGAAAGGGACTTTGAAGTTTATTGGCTAGTCATCATAATAAGAGTTAAGCTGGAATTAAATAGGTTAAGTAAGACCTTGAAGTTTGCTTGTACAGATGGTAATCTAGATTTCTTATTGAAAAAGTGTTTAAAGCAATTTGGTGCAAGCGCATTGTTGTTACAGACAGTTTAATGCAAGTGCGTTGTACCTTAAAATATGGATAGACCGGTATCCGAAAATGGATTTTAATGATCACTGTTTGGCTGAAGAAGCCAAAATTATTTTTAATTTAGTCATTTATCAACATTATTAATCCAGTCCATTACAGTTTTATGTATGATTGAACGAGGGTACCTGTGCGCAAATTGCACATTTTGATAGGTTTTAAAACTTAATACCAAGGTAAAGTGTATCCAACGCACAATTGTTATGTTTAAAGATTTTGTTTGCTTAAGACAGTTATTAAAACAAATTTACAGTAAGTTAAATTTGTTAATTTTAGATCCACGCCATAAAGTCTGATTTATCTACCTCAGTCAGGTTACAATTTTATCACTAACAGTATCAAAATCCATTTTACCATATCTAATTTACATGTCTGCCTGTGACTAAACTTTTAACTGAGAGATCAGCTGTTAAATTACAATTCACATTCAAACAGTTATAAAAAAAGTAAGTCAGCATTACTAGATCATTGAAAGGAATGTGTTAGTGAGGGGTGAAGCCTTAAAGGAAATTACCTTTTTAGTTACCATTAATCCCTCCGCTAGTTCATACGGTTTAAAGTGACACCTTAACAGTGAATATCAACACTTCTATATCATTATTTTATAACTGAATGCTAAGGCCGGATGGTGTGATAGGCAATGGTCTGTGCAGCAATGGAGATTGTCGGAGCGTCAAAGCGTACAATCTGCGGAATCACGTTTCAAGCGATGTTCGCATTCGGAGTGATGCTGGTGGCCTTTTGGGGTTTCCTTATAGAAGACAGGGTCTGGCTACAGGTTGTCTATGGACTACACAGTGTTCTGCTGCTGTTCCATTGGTGGTAGGTAACAAACATCTACCGGTATTATTGAAATATATAGAATACAGTTTATATACCTACCTAATACGGGAGTGTTAGGTCACAAAAGTGAGAAAAATCACGAGTACTGTTTAATAAATGTTAATTAGATGGTAAGTCTGAAAATATGGATTCCTATAGCTGCAAAAATATGTTAAGGTAAGTCGATTTGTGGACAGAGAGAAAGAGTTCTGACTCCATAGTGATAATGTGATATTCTATTCCTGTGAATACTAAATTGTATGTATTCTACTTTTACTGTTTGTCAACTGACTGTAGGAAATGCAATCTAATATGCCATCGGGTAATTCATTTTCTACAGCCAACCTCCTAAGGGCGCCCTGATGCCAAAGGGTATATAGGCAGTAGGCAAAGACAAGAGAATCACTTCTCTTGTCTAGTATGGTAGTGCTCTTTAGTGGACCCTTTAGATTATAGTCTTAAAATGGCTTTACTTTTAAGTAGGCATTAGATTAACAAAAACCTAAAAACTTTTTTTTTAACCCTATTGACACACATAAACAGGTTACTTCGCACAGCTGTGGGAGAATTCGTTAAAACAAAAGCCAAACCAAGTTCCATATTTTACAGGCTCATAGATGAGTCGCCTCGGTGGCTGTGGTCGCAAGGCAGGATATCAGAGGCCGTCACCATTGTGGAGAAGGGCGTCAAGATGAACGGAGGTGAACAGATAGACAAGGCACATTACGTGTCTCGAGGTAAAGTGGTCTCGGACTCAACGGAGGAACACTCCTACAGTGTGCTGGACATGTTCCGCACACCAAAGCTGCGCATCAAATCTCTCAACGTATGTCTCAACTGGTATGTACTATTCAGACTATTAAATTTCCTCAGTCCCTTAGAATCAATTTGAACCCTCTGTAATAGCATTTTGTAATGGGGATAGAGGTATAAAATAAATAATTTAAATGATGGCTTTCTTTTATTGAGGTCTCCAAAGAGGTTGAGTTTTGGTGATCCAAACTAATTCAAATCTGATAGCAGTGACATTCTTTACTTTAGTTTAGACTCTTATTTTCTAATTGACCCCTATTTTATTCTGACCCCTACGTCTAGTCATAGTACCAGATAACAATACTAATTGTGTTCTGTTTTTATTTTCTGTGGCAGGTGGTCAACTATTAAAAATCTGTTGCCAGTTGATGGATATATACATTGCAAAGTGTTAAGAAATAAAACATGTCCATATAACTTGCTAAGCGCTTTGCCAACAATAGGCTTTGCTTTGCTGAGAAGATACATGCAATGATTAATGACATCCAATCAATCAAGTACCGGTACCTTACCTGTGGTACATGTTTGCATTTAAATTATGCATCTGAAAGATTGGCCTGTCTTAACAGGTTCTGTTGTTTCATTAGAATATAGTAGTGAGGCACCTTTAAACTTACAAGTTCAAAGGTTTTCACTACCAAAACTAAGAGTTACAGTGAAACATTTTTCAACTGTAATAAATTACACATCTGAGCTTTTACAGGTAGTCCATAAACACTCTTGATAACTTAAAGAGATTTTGATCAAATCAAATTTTTAAGCTGCAGCTAGTGCATTGGTCAATTTGGTCTCAACCACTACTAATGAACTCAATATCACTTTAGTAACCAAACTAAATTAATTGACATTATCTTGTTCCAGGTTCGCCAACAGCCTGGTGTATTACGGCCTGTCCCTCAACACAGGCAGCCTGGCAGGCAACCCTTACTTCATCTTGTTCATCATGGGTGTCATTGAGATGCCGAGTTACGTGATCTCAGTTCTGTTCCTGGACCGAGCTGGTCGTCGATGTCTCACTGCTTCCTTCCTACTGTTGGGAGGTTTCGCTTGTCTTATCACTGCATTTACTCCTAAAGGTATATTAACTGTTACTGTAGGTGGGAATCCAAAATAGTTCAAACTAATTCATATTATTGCATGTCCAAGTATAAAAATGCGTGGTAAAAAGTTTTAATCAGGATGGCGTAGAGGGAGGAATGGGGAAAAGGTTACCAACAACACTAAGTCACATCACTAGACGCTAGTGTTGTTAAAAAATTCCAATGGCGATTATCACTGTTGCAATTATTGAGATGACTACATAATACAGTAACAAAAGACAGTGGTGTGGTGAGGGAAGGATTCTGGTGCACACACGTGTGCTTGAGCATCTCGCCTGCCAATTGACAAGATCTTATCACATTGTGGCTTGAAGTACTTTGTACTCTAAAGTTTTCGTGAACATATATTCATGAGTATAGTTTGGTTTAATGTAAAATATTGACAATTGTGTTGTTTTTTTTTAGGGTAACTATATTGTAGGCTAACTGTTTGAGGTGCATTTTCATAAGTATTATTTACAAACCAACAAAACATATTGCTGTGGAATTTATTAAGGAAAAAGTGTGTTGAAATTTTTTAGCGACATACCGGTAGTTAATCACATCCTTATGCTCGTTTTATAACTGTGATAAAAGGGAAAGGAAGAATTACATTGTAGAGAAGTGAAGTTGGCTTTCTTAATTTGAATGATAGATAAACTACCTTGGCTAAATATTCATAGCCCTCCAATTAATAAACATTGTGAGAATAACGTTTAGTTGCCATTGTGACTAAGACGATTGCATAACAACTCCTGATATACATATTATATGGGAATTTGTACCAAATCTTTGTAGCCACTTTAGCACACAATATAGTCATGGAAGGATATTGTTCAGTAATATGAGATCCGCATAATATATTCTTAACTTCACAGGGAGTTCATTAACAACATCGATTGTGTTCCTGGGCAAGTTCTGTATAGCTGGTTCATTCGCTATCATTTACAACTACAGTGCAGAGCTGTTTCCTACAGTTATACGCAACACTGCGCTCGGCGTGGGCAGTATGTGCGCTCGATTCAGCGCTGCACTCACTCCTCTTATAGCTCTGCTGGTAAGTTTCAAGTTTTTGTTAATAAAAGTGTATTTTGTAATAACTTACCCGCTTTCAACTTCAGTATGTTGTGCTGGAAATATACTTGTGATGAGCAAGAAAGAGCCCGAGCGGCAAGCATTGTGCAGATACCCCTAACACCTCCACCGTGAGCACATTGTAGTTCATGAGGGCGAGGGGGGTTGTGGTGTACTTTATCCTGGATACCATAGTGACTAGTGCTAGACACTACGTAAGTGTACCATTGAATGTTTCCTCTGTACCTTTAATCTCTGTGCATGGGGCATATGAGAACCGTCTTCAACACAATTTTAAAAGAAACTTAAAATAAAAAAGGACACCCGAATATACTATTCTATAAGGTTATACTAGTAAACTGTAACTTAAAAGATTAAAACAAATGTTATGCCACGAGCACTCACAAATTAATTTACAAGTTGCTGAAAAACTTTGCACTTTCTAATTGTAAAAAACCCTTCATAACCTTAACGTCTTCAAGTGTCTGGTTACCATTATACAACTGTGTTGTTTTGTGCAGGACTCGTTTGACCCCCGAGTACCCACAGTGCTGTTTGCTGTGGTAGCGCTGGTGTCAGGGTTCCTGACAACATTACTGCCAGAGACACTAGACCAGCCGATGCCTCAGTCTCTAGACGACGGAGAACACTTCGGGGAGGGCGACACTTGCTTTACCACAGGGTGCTTCGGCAGCAACAGGAAGAGAACGCCTGTACCACTCACAGAGATGAGCTGAACATGGTGAGTGTTTTAGGTATTCTCTGTGGTTAGGTTGAGGAAGTTTTTCGGTGTAATACACTTCCAGAGTTCTTAAACTGGCGATACCACCTTAAAATGCTTTGGTGTGTAGGAGGAGTCCGTCTAAAATGCCCCCGAAACTCACGCTGGACGGTTATTAAAGATGAACTTGAGTCATAATGAAAAACACAAAATGTTTTTTTCTTGAATTGTAATAATTTTGAAAATCATGCAAATTAAAACACTTCCAAGAAAAAACCAAGACTGATTATTGAACAGCTGATTATAAAACTTGGAAACATGCTTTTTAAGCACATGTTTCAAATATTAATGTGGGACAAGAATTGGGTGAGGTACACTCCATTAAAACCTGATGATTCTTTTACAAACTATTATGGTGTAAGCGAAAGATAATTCAACTTGTGTTTGTTTCATCAATTAATATACATTTTACAGAAATGAGCTTAGCTGAACCAGTTATCAAAGTTAAACCTGAAAGGAGGGAAATCCAGGAAGAATAAACTCATTTATTGATAAGTAGTGTAAATATAGTTATGTAAGTAGTTCATACCAACTAATTTGTAAGGAATCAATCATTGTCTTTATTGTTATTATTTTGTTCTTATTATTATTATTATGTACAGTTTATTCAAGTTAAGATTAATGGTGTAAAACAGCCAATTTGTTTGTACATAGTCTACTAAAATATTGTAACTTACTTTGTAACTGTAAACTAATTGATTTATTGATCATTTTATTAATTTTAATTATGGACTTTCCATAACCCAATGTTAACAGAAACGTTAAATTATTATTTAATAATAATTTATGGTTCTTTGAACTTGTTTATCAGAGAATTGTGTACATTAGTCATATGTGGATTTTTGTGTCTTTTGTGAAATTGCACTTGTATTTTGACTTGAGAAGAAAACTACTACCATTAGTGGTTTTCTACAAAGTTTTTTTTCTGACTCAGCAACATATTACTTTATTTTCAATGAGTATTTAGTGCTAAGTCTGTGGTATAGAAATGAGTGTGATAAAAATAACTAAAGCTTTAACTTATGCTTTTATATCACTTGTGTAAGTCGGTATACAATGTTTCTTCCTTCAGTTAACAATGAAGTACAAACATTTCATTTGTTTAAATCACTTTGTGGGTCACAATTGTTTGAATTCAAGCTAATAGGTAGTCTATAGGGTCACTTCACCTTTAATAGTTTGTAACAGCACTAGAGATTTATGATGTATATGCATACCATGTTACATTTTATTACAATGTTGTAATAAGGAATTTTTGTATTGATCAAGGATAAAATCTTAATAACATGTTCACAATAATCATGTCAATCTTTTCATAACCTCATATGATTATTTTACCCACAAAAATCTTTATTTGGACATGTATCAAACTACGATTTAATATAAGCAAGTTTTTTCTTACCTTTTGAAAAAGTGGCAGATCAATGAATTATGCTTTTGTGGCTCTATATTTCAGATTTCCAACCTAAATGGTTGGAAATCTGAAAAAGTATGTACGGATAAGTAGCCTAACTAACAAAGATAACTTTTTATGATGGCAGCATATGCTTAACTTGTGATTAAGTATGGGTTGGCAGATTAACTGTGACCTCGAAAATGTATTAACTTTGACTGTTGATTTTGTAGAAGTAGACATTCCATCTCCATATTTAGGACGTCACCAGGTTTTTTTTGTTTTTTTTTTACAATCAAATTGAGCCAATGACAGAATGTGCTAAACTGATGATATAAATTACTGATTTCCGATGACTATGGTCAAGCCCCAATAGGACGAAATATGCAAGCTATAGCACTTTTATGTCATTCAAGTATCTCAGTAAGAAAAAAATTAAGGTATATCAGAAGGAGGAAATAACTGTTTAATCTTGTAGTGGTATCTCTAGAAGTGCAACCTTATTTGCTAATAAACACCCTATTTCTACAGACCTGTCCTCTCTTTAAAAATATTTATAAAGAGAGTCTGTGACCTAACTTAGATTTCAAAATGGATTATACAAGAACAATAAAAAAATTAGGGTGTAAAAATGTATTAACGAAAGTAAATAGTAACAAAACACATATAACAGAAATATTCAACCAGCTTATTCAAAGGTTTTATACCATTTCATACTATGTATCACACTCCTCATAGAAAACGTTCGTTATCATTTTGTTGTTTAAAGGTAACAAACAAATGTTTTTCAGTCTATTTTAATCTTTACACAATAACAACAACTAGCGTTTTAATTAATAATGCAAAGTTTACCATGTTTTACAACATTAACAAGACACACCTATGCTAGAACAACTACACTAAAATGTTTTAATAAATAATAAAATTCAAAATGCAAAAGATATTTCTGCTAAAATCATGCCTAATAATCCTATTTAAAAACCTTTTTGGACAAATAAAATGTAAAAGGAATTACACTTAGCCTATAGTAAAATCAAAACATACTAATATCAACTAATAAATATCACAAAGTTACAAAATTATTGGCATGAAAAGATCTAAAAATGATCTTATTATACTAAGTTTTAAGTTTATATGTTTCTCAATTTGTTCCTACACAATAAACCATATAATTATAATCTTTAAATAATTTACTGAGTAATAAAAAACTTGTGAAAAACACTGAACATGATATCAGCATTCATCATAACATATACAATCAGTCAATTTTATACACCAATTTCGATATGAATTTACAGATGCCTTGCTAAGACTTTTATCTTGTACGATTAAAATCTAATTCTTTACAAGACTTAAGAAATAACTGTATAAAATATAAAAGTGTAAATTTGCTACCAACTAAGCAAGATGCACACATTTTTGCTAAGAGTGTGTCATCAAGGCTCTAGGAGTGACTGAACTAGCTGTTCGTAGAAGAACGTGGTTTCCAAACTTCACAGTAGAAGAAACAGCTCCAAACATCCTGTTGATTAAACCAGATGGGATTTCTTTCTCTGCTTCTACTGGATTTGGTTTTGCTGAAAAATATCAAGTAATTTTTTTTTGAGATAAAGAGTGTAAAGATATACCTATTGTTTAAAAGGTTTTATCAAGAAAAGTTCATAAAGTAACCGAAAAAATTGACTGACAAAAGTGTATACAACGTTAAACGTACCGTATATATTCCTTTACTAAGGAATATGCGTAATCAACACCTCAGTCATAAAAGTACAAGCTCTAATAGAGTCTTCTAAATCAGTCAATGGGTAGAAACCGGCCGTCGCACATGTGCGTCGCTGGTCTATATGAATGAAAAATTTTGCATTATTGAGGTAGCGAACGTGTTAAGCTCAGTAATCCTGTCAATTCTCACTCAAGCCGAACATCAATTATTGTTGGTCCTCTCAATGACGACCGTGTCATAACCGGCCAGACAGAACAAGTGCCACCAAAATGGGCAGGTGAGACCGTTCAACAAATTACTGTAGCACCAATGAGTTAGTGACTTATTTACTACGCTACAACATATTTTGAAGTGAGGTACTAGATAGTCAAAATACATTGGTTAAACATGACATTTTGATACTCACTGACTAGAAAGGAGAGCAGCAGATTGTTGACCTCTTCAGGTCGCTCCTGGTGGGGGAAATGTCCGGCGGAGTCGATGATCTTGAGCTGATACTTGCTGAGGTACTCTGTGGAGCGGACGACACTCTCTAGTCTCACTGAAGAGTCCTGATTGCCCAGGATCAGCAGACTAGGCACAGTGACTACACTGTCCTCTGTGGTGCTGACTCTACAGAACGGGAGGTTGCGGTAGTAGTTGATGGCTCCCGTCCAGTCCTCTGTAATAAGTATAAGGTAAGTAAATTTTTTAATTGCAGGAACAAATACTATGTAACAAATGTAACTAACTCTAAGCTGCCACAATGTATCGTACTCATTGAGGGCTGTTGCCACAAAACAAACAAATAGTTAGTTAGTTGAGTGTGTTAGTTAGCCTAGTGGTTAGCACCTCAGACTTCGCTGTGGGACGGGGGGGGGGGGCTTAGTTCATCCACAAAACTCTATTTTCACGATGACTTTTTAAAAAATCCACTGGTGTAGGAAAAAAAGAAAGAAGAAAAACAGAGCAAAGTTTAGGTTGATAATAGTTTGTGGCTAAGAAGTGAAAAAACATTTGTTTGTATTCTATACTACTGGTTAAATCATCCAACAAAAAAATAATGCTATTTTCACTTTTAGGATGAAAATTCTATACACAAGGAACAACTCCTCTTACCACTATGCACCAGAGGTGATAGTTGTATGTTAAAGGTACAATTCCTATGCCGCGACTGATCCGACTGTAGTCGTGCGGCTGTAAAAATTGACTGATTCTATGGAAAGTAAATGCAACCCATTACGATGGAGGGTCTACAGCCGCGCGACTGGAGTGACTACAGTCGCGTGGCTAGAGTCGTTACGGCTCAACTGCTCTGTGAGCAGTCCTGTCACTTCAGTCGCACGGCTGTAACGAATTTATAATTTATACATATGGAGTTTGAGGTGTGTAGCTTCATGGATGATCCAAAGTTGATTAAACTGGTTCGTCACCACCCATCCGTTTTCAAACCCAAGCACCCCCAACACTTGAAGAAAATGTCTCTGAATGAGAATACTGTAAAACCCCTCTTTTTGCCGTACCATGAACATTGGATTAGGTTGTTCATTGTTTTACCATGCACATTAATATTTCCTTTTCCTCCTCTTCTCCAAGTAATACATTCGCTGCCAACTGTGCTTATACCATACAGGAGTCGCGGCATAGGAAATAAGACGAGGGTCTCGAGCCGTACAAAAATTAACTCCTCTTATGATTTTAAAACTACTATTAGTCTAATGATTGAGTAGTCATCTTTAAAGTTGTATGTTCTATCTTGATGAGGGTCAATTCTGGATTTAGTTGACATTTTTGTCACTGGTGTGGTTATAAATACAGCCATGCTATCCAACAAAAACAATTAAACAAAACTCAATTAAAGCTTGGTTTAAACTGTTTTCTTACAATAAAAATTTAAAAACACAACAGGTGTAGTAAATTACAAAACGTACATAATAACTTACCCTTCCGAGAAAAATAATACTTGTATGCATCTAAAAACGCCACCTCCTTCAAACTCTTGACATTGAGATGTTGGTAACACTGGTTGATGATGTTGAGATCGTTCTTCAGAGCATCCTTTTCAGGGAGGTGAGGTAACTGGCTGTAGTGAACCCAGCTGGAAAGTAATGAGTTAATACTTTAATAACACACTTACACTTATAATAATTCAACACTTGTTTCACACAAAATTACTGTGTGTTTAGGAAATACAAATAATGGTTCAAAACTTCACATGTGGACTTTCTGTTTCCCTTGATTACAGCTGGTTAATGCCGACTCAATTTATGTTTTCCTACAAACTTCTTAAACCCCCACAACACGAAACTGTTCACCTTTCCCTAGACTATTTTCACCATTCACCATTCTATAATACATCCACTTGCTTTAAATTCCTGTTGTATAAAATCTAAAACATTACTTCTATGTATACTACCTGTTCTCCACAACCCAAAAAGGCAGTTTAGTCCAGCATCTATAGGGGGTTGAGTATGCACTGAAAGTGTAACTCTTTTTGACTTTTGATTGTTGTTGGGGGCATCTTGGAGATGACAAAAACCGATGTTGTCGCCCTCCCAGCAGGTGCACAACTTGGGGGGGAGGGGGGGAAGGTGCTCCGAGACGCGTTCTAGAAAATCGCTTATATCTCGTGAACTAGACACGATAGAAACAAGCTCTAAACGGCATTGTATTACCAACTTCATCTACTTTAAAGAAATATCCAGGAAAAGTCCCGTATCTATGATATTAGTTGAGTTATTTAACAATTTATTTAAAAATTTGAATAAAAACCCCTAAATTACGTTAAACTATCCATTAAAACCACTTTAAAACAACAAACAGTACAGTTTTTCATCGTGCATGATATGTTTAACACGCTAAAGTGACTGTATATGGTAATTATATCGAAATATTACAAGGTTATGCGAGGTTTCCGATGAAGTGGCACGGTGACGCGGATGACGCCGCTGCGCGGCAGAAATCAATGTGTAGTACAGACTTGTAAACATTGGGTATGTACCGAAAGTGTAACGCGTTTTGACTTTTGATTGTTGTTGGGGGCACATTGGAGATGACAAAAACCGATGTTGTCGCCATTCCAGCAGGTGCACAACTTGGTGGGAGGAGGTGGGAGTAGCGCTGAGGCGCGTTCTAGAACATCGCTCATATCTCGTGAACTAGACACGATAGAAACATGTTTTAAACGGCATTGTATTACTGTCACATATATGTTTTGTATTACTGTTTACTGGTTTAGGCCTACTCTATGCTGTATTATATTGTATGCTATTGTGTTGGCACCACTGTCATTTCCGCCCTCATGAACAACTATCAAAATATACGTTGGTTGTCAAGATGTCTGTCTGTGTCTTATTTTTTTTAAAGTAGACCTTGGCTTCGCAACAATTACAAACCGCATCTGCTTTAAATATTTTATAATGAAAAATCCCATATCAATGGTAATAATTGAGTTATTTGACATTTTATTAGAAATTAACAATTTAAAGTCAAAATACCGTTTATCTACTCATATAACTCTCTTAAATCAATGAATAGCACTGTGTTTGGAGTGCATTCAATGTTCAAAACACGAATTACAAAAAATTAAGTGTACTGTACTTTCCTTAAAATAATATGTACGTAGCTCTCGAGTTAGCGAGAAAATAATTATACGCTGTTTTTAACACTAGGCTATTTTAAATATAAAATTTAAACAAAAACCAAAGAAAATGCTTCAGTTTGAAATGTATACGGTTTTTATTAAAATAATATTAAAATAGACTTGGAAATGCTGTACTACATTTTAAAACTTACTGTCGGGGAAAAAAGTTTAGACACTCGAGTTTGGAGCTCTACAGAAAAGTAGCCTACTAACTTAGAAAAACACGTAGTATATATAAATTTATAAAATATTTATAAAAAGTAACTACCATATAAACTACACATAAGAAAACAATAGATACTATTTCAGTCATCTTGTTTGAAACGGTCTTAATGATGAGGATTTCTACAATTTTTAAAACATTTGCAGTAGGAGCAGCTGGATGACTTGTTTGAAAAGCAGCTACAAGTTGATCTAGAACAAGTCTTGCATTTACATGGCTTTAGCAAATTTGTAGGAGCCGGGGGCAGGGTCATAAGAAGGGGGCGCATTTAACCTGAGCTGTCTTTGAAAAATCGGTATTGGAATATATCTAAAGGCTCTATTTCTGCTGTCAAGGACTTTACCCAAAAATATAGTTGGGCACTACACCGTAACAGGTGTAATTTGTAGCTGTCCGGTGTGCAAGGCACTTAGACGGCAAATGGATTAGTTGTTATTTCTATATAGTGGCTGTCATTGCAGGTGCTTCCTTTTCTTCTTAATCCTGCTGCTCCTACTGCAAATGTTTTAAAAATTGTAGAAATCCTTATCATTAAGACCGTTTTAAACAAGATTACTGAAATAGTATCCATTGTTTTCTTATGTGTAGTTTATATGGTAGTTAAGTATTAAAATGAAATACAGCATTTCCAAGTCTATTTTAATATTCTTTTAATAAAAACCGTATACATTTCAAACTGAAGCATTTTATATGGTAGTTGTACCTAGATTTTTGTTTAAATTTTATTTTAAAATAGCCTAGTGTTAAAAACAGCGTATAATTATTTTCTCGCTAACTCGAGAACTTCGTACATATTATTTTAAGGAAAGTACAGTTCACTTAATTTTTTGTAATTCGTGTGTTGAACATAGAATGCACTCCAAACACAGTTTTATGAGAGTTATATGGGTAGATAAACGGTATTTTGACTTTAAATTGTTAATTTCTAATAAAATGTCAAATAACTCAATTATTACCATTGATAATAAATAAATATTATTTGATTTTTTATAGTTAAATATTTAAAGCGGATGCGGTTTGTAATACAATGCCGTTTAAAACATGTTTCTATCGTGTCTAGTTCGCGAGATATAAGCGATTTTCTAGAACGCGTCTCGGAGCACCTTCCCCCCCTCCCCCCCAAGTTGTGCACCTGCTGGGAGGGCGACAACATCGGTTTTTGTCATCTCCAAGGTGCCCCCAACAACAATCAAAAGTCAAAATGCGTTACACTTTCGGTACATACCCAATGTTTACAAGTCTGTACTACACATTGATTTCTGCCGCGCAGCGGCGTCATCCGCGTCACCGTGCCACTTCATCGGAAACCTCGCATAACTTGTAATATTTTGATAAAATTACCATATACAGTCACTTTAGCTTGTTAAACATATCATGCACGATGAAAAACTGTACTGTTTGTTGTTTTAAAGTGGTTTTAATGGATAGTTTAACGTAATTTAGGGGTTTTTATTCAAATTTTTAAATAAATTGTTAAATAACTCAACTAATATCATAGATACGGGACTTTTTCCTGGATATTTCTTTAAAGTAGATGAAGTTGGTAATACAATGCCGTTTAGAGCTTGTTTCTATCGTGTCTAGTTCACGAGATATAAGCAATTTTCTAGAACGCGTCTCGGAGCACCTTCCCCCCCTCCCCCCCAAGTTGTGCACCTGCTGGGAGGGCGACAACATCGGTTTTTGTCATCTCCAAGATGCCCCCAACAACAATCAAAAGTCAAAAAGAGTTACACTTTCAGTGCATACTCAACCCCCTATAGATGCTGGACTAGTTATTTTCTCAGTAAAAATACTGTTGAAAATAATGAACTGATCATCTTACTACTATATCAAGCAAAATTAAGAACTTGTTGATTAACGTACTTTGTATTGAACCAGTTAGAATCGGGTAGGTGTGTCCAGTAGAAGTTTGGATGTGGACAAGAGATGGCTACAAACTTGTCAACAAACTGTGGACAGAGATGGACAAGGTACCAGCCGATGAGAGCTCCGAGATCGTGACCAACCACGTTACAACTGGAGACACCCAGGGAGTGGATCAACTCCTGTAACTCGCTCAGTATCACTCCCACTCTGTAACTGCTGCGGCTCGACGGCTTGTCTGAGTCTCCGAAACCCTTCAGATCCAGGGAAATTACTCTGCAAAACACATTGATAGTTTGATAGGATATGTACTGTAAGGTATAGCAGTAAAATATACAGTTTCATAACAGTTTTGAGTCTCATCCCAACATTTTTCCAGATTGTTGCAGTGACCATATTCAAACACACATAATACAGCACAGTTTTAAAATATACTAATACATCCAACTCCAAACAATATTTGTACCAAAATATTTTGTAGAGTTTTAGTAGGGTCATAAAAAGAGCTTAGTCAAGCCTGAAGAAAAATTGAAAGCTAAAATTTTAGTTTGAATCATAAGCTGTGATGTTTAAAATAAATTATAATGTGGTATTAAATAAAGATGATGTAGCCTAATCACTGGCATATTTAAATTTTAATATTTCATTTTTATATACAAACACTAGCTGCTATACCCGTGTTTTGCAACGGGAAGATGTTCTATACCGCCAAATCCAAAAACTTGTTAGTAGATCAAATTTATAAACAAAGAGCCACCAAATTTTTACAAAAAAGTATGACCTACATTGTAATTGTCCTACTGTTTACATTAAAATATATCAATAACATAATTTTCATAACTTACGGTTATAGAATCTTTCTTTATTTCCATAATCAATTATATAAACAAACCTATCACGTAGTTGTGTAAAATATTTTTTTTATTTGTTTGGATCAGCTGTACGAAATTGTGAAATAAGCATTTAGCAGTTCTGACTGTTTACATTGAAATGTCAATGCAAAGGTAAACAAAGTTTGTGAATTTTCTCATGCTTTCATGGAGACCTACTAATATTTACTTTTGTAAACCTCACCTCAAACCTTTGGAAAACCAAGAGACGTAGCCCGAGAGGAACTCAGGGATGTGAATAGTCCAATGACATTCCTAGGTATGTGAACAATCTATATGCTTAATTTGGGCTGGGTCGGTTTAGTATTTTAGTAATGGCAGCCACACAGACACACACCACCTCAATTTTATAATAATGTAGATTGTCTGCTTAAGACTAAATAATATGTTTCTAACTGATAAGATAAATATGCCCAATGTTTGTATTGTTGGTTTCATTTTTATCAAGTTATAAAAATGAAACCAACAATATAAACATTGGGCATATCTAGAAGGAGGAAATAGTTATTTGTGCAACTAGTGAGAAAAGTGAGCAATTGACTCACTCGAGAGAAATCCTTACTCACGAGCCGTAGGCGAGTGAGGAATGGTTTCTCGAGTGAGGCAATTGTACTTTGAACTCGAGTTGCACATTATACTTTTCCTACAGTTACCATAAAACAAATAAATTTGTGAAGAAACATAACCTATTTTTACACAGAAGTGAACTTTTAATATAACATTTAATGTGAAGTGACAAATACAACAGTACAACAGCTGACCAGCTGATTTACAGCCAGTGCTGCCAACATATTTCGCGCGCGCATACGACGTTGCCTGCATGTTACGCGCTCACTATTTCGTGCCTTCACGTTGCAAATCTGGAGTGAGACAAAGTAATTAGAGTGAGACAATGTTAACATTGTCTCACTGATGAGCGAATTGGCCACTTCGCTTTCTCAAATCAGTGAGAGAACATGTACATTGTTAGGTAACTGTAGGAAAATATAACTTTTAACATGTCTAAGAATTGGGGTGAAAAAATGTAAGAACAATTTTTAGTTTTAAATAACTAGTAAATTTTGTAAATCCTACCCTTAATTAAATTACCAACCTAAAATGTTTGGAAAGTGTAGACACTTGATGCCTCCAGCTGATCCAACAGTCTGGGAAACCATGCAGCAGCAAAACCACAGGCTTATCTTTGGAGCCACACTCGACATAGTGTAGCTTTGTATACTGCACAACACAAACTAGGATTAAGTATCCTTAATCTTCCTGATAAATTAACACATACCAGTAACTACACAGGGTGGGAATATTGGTCATAAAAAACCATTTTAAAACATTATTCAGTGATGCTTTACATCCAAAGGGGGCGCAACAAATAGTCAGAAGAAACCCTTAGTTATAAGCATATTTTGATACATCACATCAAAGGTTAAACGTTAGTAACACAACATTGCGTTAGTAAAATCCAATGGTGCAAATTTGAACTCAAAAGAACAACTGAGTCAAAATGGCAGTAAATGAAAGATTTCTTGAATTTGCATGCACTAATCGAATCTTTGATTGGGTACAATGTTTTAACAAGTTGTTTTTTGGATCAAATTCGCAGCAATGTATTCTACTAAAAGCACCCTTAATTTGATGTGCATATAGACCTATCTGAGGAGGTAGCGCATCATTCACAGTAAATCCAAGAAATCTTTGAAAGGGTGCCATTTTTGACTTGATTATCCGTTTGAGTTTGGGTTTGCGGCATTGTATTTGAATAGCAAAGACTTTAATTTGGTGTGCATATCACCCTATCCTTACATTTAAGATTTTCTCCTGAACTGGACCTTCCCCCTGAGGAGGTCACTCACTGAATAATTTGAAAAAATGGTTTTATGACCTAGAACGTTTTCCCAAGCTTTGGCAGATTTATATTTTTTTTACTGTACCTTAACTGTTTTTCCACCTTGTATATAAAATGACAAAAATTTCATTAGTAGGCTACAGGATTGAACATATTCGTAAAATTTTTCCTATAAATTTAACTTCTTTGTATACCTTTTAACGCCAGTATGATTTTTATAAATGAACAAACCAAAACCATAACTAGTTCAACTCCATGTCTCTCGACTTTCTAATTTATAAATCCATTGAAATGTTGAATGTTGGCAACAATGTTAGATAGCCTATTGAGACAGATTAGTCTAAAATTAAGGGTGTGCTCTACCTGCCCGCCGCGCGCTAATGCAAGGGTTTCTCTGTCATTGTTGGCTTAGTTCTTAACTGATTGAAGATATATTTATTTAACTTATTCGTTTCTTATTTTTGCAGGCTTGTATTGTTTAAATTTTTTTGTAATAGTAAAATTTTAAGTGAGAAGTGACTGGTAAATACTTCTAAATAAGCTTTTTTCAAAAGCATTTTACACATACAAATGAATTTTTAGAAGAAAATTAAAACGATAGAGTCATAAATTTGAATCTAAAGACTAAGGAACCTTCTTCAGATAAACAAAATAAAAAAAAAAAGTTAACTGAGTAATTTGAGAGGACTTAACCGTCTGCAAGCGCTACTGCAACATAGCTACTGAAGCCCAAGCTGAGATTTCCGAGCTGGAGGTAGAGTGCATCCTTAATAAATTAATCAGTTAATCTTAGAAAAACAATGTACAACATGTAGCCAGTACTGTATTAAAAGGGGTTTCAACATATGCATACAACAAAATATTACCTAGCCTACATACCTAGTCAGAATCGTTAGAATATGTTAAGGATTGCACTACTGACTTTTGAATATTGAAGACATCCCATCCTTGTATATTGACCAGCTTTAGGAAATTCATGATTCAAAAATTAGGGACATTGTTGAAAAATTTGTTTATTTGACAAAATCTGTCACTTACATCAGGGCATTTTGTGGATGGCTTAATTCAACACTTTTATTCAAACACAGTCTACAACATTAACACGAGAATGGAATGTTAAGCCTTAATCATAGTGATCAAAGGCTCCTCAATATTATTTGTAACATTATTAATTTCATTACTGTACCTGTAATTTCACATAAAGATGTTGTCCAAAATCCCCACTGAGACATTCAGGCGGTTTCCTCCTCTGGTCGGTTTGTTCACTGTCCTTTGATTTTCTCAAAACCTTCCTCAAAAACTCTTTCAGCAATATCCAAAGTCCCCATAAGAACGATAAACAGTGTATTTTCAAAAAGTCAAAATAAGAGATTGACACAATATTATCTGCCCTGGTTACTGCTACAGCCATGGTTGAAACACCGCACTTTGAGACACAATTTGAGTAACAAAATCACACAAGAATTATTTCCATGTTCAGGCAAGAACACGCACAATTCCTCATTTCAAACACACCAACCAACCAAGTTGTTTCATTGGATGACACACTGTTTCACCATTGTTGATAACATGACAAACAGACTAATGGACTTATCAGCTCATCAGCTGAGAGTCACGTGGTCGTGCAGGGCAGCCAACCTCTCAGAACTATATTTCCCAATTATTTCAAATACTGTTATCAACTTTTACCTCGCATTCATCAGCATCATAGAGAAGTATAAAGTATTCAGATTTAATGGAATGTGATTTCAGCACAAAGCAGATGTAGTTATTCATAACACAACAATGATGTAGAATCAATTTGACGGACGCAACAGGTAACTTGAACTGAACGTAGGTATAACTTTAAACGAGGGTTCTAACCGGCAGCCTGAATTTCAAATTCAAGATGGTGGTTTATATTTTAGATTGTAATATAGTTAGGGATTGAACATTCCACAGCTCTCAACATTCTAAAACAAATTTGTTTCCAATGATTGTGTGTTTTTTGTGCTTTTAACATATCAGAGCTTGCTATAGATGGGGAAAAATAATTTTTAACTATTATTTAGAAGTTAAAATCAATGCGATAAAGAGTAATTTACGGATTTAAAAAATGATTTTGTAAATACTTAAAGAAACAATTAAGAAGTTTCATACAGTGCATCGTTTGGATCTTTGTGAATATTTTACAATAGACATGGTTTAGCCCCTGAGCTGAATTGATGACTAATATAATATAAATACCTCGTCACAGCTCTGTAGTTACTGTAGATAATCTACTATCTGTAATTAATCTACAGTAACTACAGAGCTGTGACGAGGTATTTATATTATATTAGTCAATATTTTACAGTTGATTTTAACTCGATAAACACATTAATAATGCCACGAGTTTCTTTTTTGTAGAGCCATGTTTACGTTGTAAACAGCTGGTGGGTAGAACCCTCTTATTGGAGAAACCGTGCCTTAATCTTGCAATATCTTAATCCAAAGGCTAACTTTTTTACGTTTTATTTTATTTATCATGAAAAATACAAAATTTATTACTGCTGTCTTCAATAATAAATATACTTATTGTTGGATTTTTAAGGATGAGATATTTTATAGAATTTGATTGTCGGTACAAAATTTACAATTTTATTTAGGAGTCAATAATTTACAATAGATGAGAAAGTTGTACTACTAAACTAAGGTTTTCACGGGTGGTAGTACTCCGGACCGGCTGCCGGCGCTTCTTCCTTCTTTGGCTTTGGTGCATACGGGTTCTTCAGTGGGTCCAAGTTAAGGCTGGAAAAATTAAAAACAAGTTTTAAGCAGGAATCTTAATAAAATTCTGTAATAGGAAACAAGTTTAATTTTTCCCACTATTAAACAAACCTGTGTTTGTATTTTTAACTCCATATACCAAAGTGACAAAGCATTAAAACTACAAAAACGGAGGTTTGGCAATCAGTCTTTAGACGCAAAACCATCAGAATAACATATCAGCGAAGCAGCAAAGAAATTACATATACAGAGAAACCTACGCTCCCTTCCACGAGAGACAGAAGTTTTTTTATCCTTTTTCATAAATCTTCTATAAGTTACAATGAGATCAATGAGTTAATCACGTTGTTGTAGACAATCAAGTGAACAATAGTAAAGGGTGTACAATCAATGTTCCCATGGGATACGCAGTTTGTTTAAACTTAAATCGTAAGGGAGAAAAGAGATTGAAATCACTTCTAAGTAGTAGACAGTAAATACTGTAATTGATTCCCTAAAATTTGAAATTGGAAGTGTTTTTTCCATGTTACTTGACCAACTCATAAAAACTCGTGCTAGAACTAGCGTCCTAGGACGTGAAGAAAAAATTTTGAAAACATAAAATAAAAATAAAAACTGACCTGTACAGTTGTGGGGCTTCCTTGCAGTTGACGTTGTACCACCAGTCACAGGCGAACTCGTGCTGGTTGAAGAGTGTGCCGTTGGGACAGAGGAAGCTGGCTCCCTGGTGACCCTCTCGGCCATCGTGGCACACGTGGTACGCCTACAAACATGTACAAATCGTCAAAGGTGGTACAAGAAACTACGGACAGTTTCAGGGGAATTATATTTAAAATTATATTTAAGTGCGCTTATACAAGATCGTGCCACTCATCCTACACTCATCTCCATTCATACTTAGCTTAAAATACCTACTTTGTATGGTCGCCATTTCATTGAAAAGTATTAAAGTATTATGAGGGGAAAATTAAGAGGTTTTAGTTCTGAGGTTCGCTTCATTACCATATACACAAGTCAGTCTCTTTTAAAGGAAGACCTTGCTTGACCATGTCAAATAAAGGACGAATAAGTCATGTTTAACCAACATAGCTAAATTTATGCTCACTTTTGGGTATTTTCGCTATCTGATTTCAAACATAAAGAGAATGTGACGTGGCCAAAGCAAATTTGTATTTATTAATTTGGTTTAATAAATATGTCATTGTGAGTCATTAAGGAGTGAACGACAATCACTGACCTAGCCCCCATGAGATTAATGTAGTAGCGAAGGCTATGGCATTATATTTTAGTAACCCCGCACCTCAACTATTGTACATGACAAAAAAATGTGTCAACCCCATTTCCAATAACCACGTTACTGCGAGCACAATGAAAATCAAATCCAATCCTTTTGTGGAAGGTTTAATATTGTTTTTATCAGGCTAATTTTCCAATGTAGAAATTATACATCGATGGTAGAATCATGAGGGATTAAAATTACATCGCAGTTGATAATGCATTGAAATTGAAATGGTTCATTTACATACATTTTTATTGAATAGTATCTTTTTGCTTATGGATAAAACAGAATATTAAAGAATGCATGAAGTAAGTATGTGTAGAATAAAAGTGTTGATAACATCTAAAAGAAATATAACCCTAATCCATGGGATGTGGAACTATTATATGGATTTTCAGAGTAGTGGCCATTACAGCTAGTCAGTTGCCCGGTTTCCCCAACATACCACAATAGTTACGTAAGATATTTCGGCACTAGGAAGCCTCATGTTATAACATATCGCGGCAGAAACTGTCCCGTTTGTTTGTAAACTATTACCAACGCGGACTAAAATCTATGGTTTAATAGTTTACGAGGTTATGTTCCAAAAACAATTGTCAACTGTGTGTGATTTATTTACACAATCATGGATTAACTTGTTAGTTTGTCTTGTGTTGAGCACGCATGTCTTGAGTGCATCTCATTATCTCCTAGAGGTCAGTTAGTGTTGAACTGCAGTTGGTATTGAACGTGATATGTCTCATGGATACCCTATGAATGTCAAAGTTAACTCTACTTGACATACTCTACACTTCCTCTGGTATTGAACGTGATATGTCTCATGGATACCCTATGAATGTCAAAGTTAACTCTACTTGACATACTCTACACTTCCTCTGGTATTGAACGTGATATGTCTCATGGATATACCCTATGAATGTCAAAGTTAACCCTACTTGACATACTCAACACTTTCTCTGGTCAAAGTTACCGTTTTTGTCATAGTAATGTTGAACAACCTTGATGATTTAAATACTGAAGTAAAAATGTTTGCATTGAAACTTTGGTGTCCTAAATTTCTTGTTAGTAATATAATGTGTTCAAGATACCATGATTAACACCGGAGCAGGTATTGATTTATTAGGAGTAATGATGCAATGAATACTATATCCATTGACTGAGGCTAATTCGATTTATCCTATTATGGATTATATTAAGACAATTTTATGGTTAGTTAATTCTGTCCAGTTCATACACAAGACGTTTTGTTGTTCACTTTTGTTTCTTGTCATTAGCCCAATTTTGAAACTACTTCGATTTAAAATAATGATATGAAGCCACCGATGCAACCAAATAAGTAGTGTAGAAATACTATTAAAATATACCAAGACAAACACATCAGTGCACTAAAACAACGTTAACGTTAAACACATTAAATCGGGATCCGTATTAAAAATTTTGATGAGAAGTGTACCAGCACTATGTGCAGTCCATGGCAGCCTCTAAACAAGTAGTGTGCAGTGTTTTATCAAAAACAAACATCATGATCAAAAACAAAATGTTCTCACCGCTTCAAGTATCATAGTTCTGGAACTTCATTAAGAAAATATTGCGCTCAAATATATACCTGTTACCTGTTTGAAATTGTTTTCATACTGTAGACTAAAGTCAACATAACTTAGTGCAATTGATTGCTGTGAACTACAAGTCGAAAGCTTGCAGTGCGATTTAGATGTTTTATAGACTTATTACCCTCTTTCAAATTTGTTTACAATGTAATCCTGTAAAATGTATTAAGTGTTATCACAATTAACGATTTTTTTATGGTAGGTGCCTAAAGAGTATGGTAAATAACTGGTAATTAGATCCTTTGAAAGGTTCATTTACAAGTACTGGTTTCCTCTAAGGCGTGAGAGTTGCAGTTTTTTCTGCATTTCTGAGTACAGTTGATATAGTCGGTCACTGGCTTGGCCAGATCTGTCAGTTATAAGTAGGCCATTGCCGCCCCGCCCTGTAGTATTATGTCACAACTGTAGGGCTACATGCTACAATCGCTGCCCGGGGATAAGGTCAGAGCACTCTCTCCTCTCCCTCTCACTCTTTCACATTACACCAATACAGTGTATACTAGCCAATCTTTTACAAACTACCAGTGCGCTGTATACCATTCAATCTTATACACTATACTAGTACACTGCATAGTAGACCTTTATAGAATTAATTGGCCTATCGTCAGTGATAGTAGTCAATCGTTTACACTATACTAGTGAACTGTAGTCTCTCTTTTACAGTGCACTGCATACCAGTCTCTCTTTTACACTTTACTAGTGCACTGTATACTAGTCTCTCGTTTACATTTTACAATTCCGGTATACTAGTGAACTGTACCAGTCTCTCTTTTACACTTATGCGCTGCATATTACCACAATTTATTTCATATTATTTTTTCAATTTATCAAACTCCTATGTCACTACTTTTTTACATCACCCTATTACATTTTGTACACCCCTAAACTATTAGCCATTTTACTCAACTACTTTACCTACTCTAAGCTGGATAGGGTCTACAAGGCAATTTCAAACGAAAATGTGTAAATTTTAATTACTAAATACGTCGAGTTTAAGGGACCTCATAAAAATAAAATTTTAACTATATGTTCTATAATCAATTGATCGCTGGTAAGCATTAACAACTGAATTTTTATATCACAAGATTATTATTGTTAAATGAGTGCTATATTCGACTCAGGTATATACACCTTGCTGCTGTGATTATGAAAGACGATAATTCGTAAAATAATGTTAGTTTCAACATATTGTTATAAAGGTTATGCTTAACAGAAACTATTGTCGGTCGTTCGTGATATTGTCTTGCTAATCATTTATTTGTACTAACTGTTTTGTTTCACCCATATATTTTGTTATGCTGGTGATGTTTCATGATTCAAATCGCCAAATTAAAACGAAACCCGAAAACCTAAATAATTTAATACTCTCTATTACAAAAAACGTTTACTGCGGCTCGCCGACAGATTATATAATTATTGCCATTATGCATAACGACTGCTCTGGATTGCGACTTTCACTTTTTGTAATAGGAAACCATCTTACACTACACGCGGCCTCTCTGCAGTCTCCGGTAACAACTTGATTTTATGGAAGATTTATACTGTATTATTTACTATGCTATTAATTACTGAGGTGTAACTTTATATTTTATTTAATAATACAGCATGATAATATACTTGTCATCTTGCTACTTGTCATAATGCTATTCCAAAAATAGTTATGTACGGTATTGAAATATGGAAATCTATATTATTAAAAAAAATTGTTGGATTTTTGAGTGCAGCAAATCGACCCCTAAATATTTATTTTTAGGCATATTTGGTATCAATTTAAAGGTATTTTCCTCTAGATGTGCCTTTTGCGGGTTTGGGTGATACATCGTGAAAGCTTACATATTGAAATCAGCCTTAAATGTTCTTAAATGATTTTTCCCAATAAATAATGAAGTACATAGGTACAGCAAAAGACAAAAAAATAGTATCCATATCAACCATCGCAGAACTACACTAGCACAGACTAGCCCTCAATATTGAGGAAGCAAAATTGTCAATAAATTACCTCAAGAAATCAGATTTTGTGAAGATCAAGCTAAATTCAAGAAAATGCTGAAGATGTTCCTATTAAATAAAGCCTATTATTCAGTGGAAAAATTCCTTGAAGAGTGAAGGCTGACAACTACCAATGACGACCACGGCTGAAAAGCTTCCAGTGGGATGAATACAAGTATGCAAGTAAGTAAGTAAGCTCTTCGTCCTACAGGCTTTTAAAATTTCAGAGTTTGTGCTGAATTTTTTTGTCTATCATATGAACTATTTCAAGTTTACATCAAAACAGATGGCCATAATACAATTTTGTTTACATCCATACGAAAATGAGGTCATCCGTAGTTAGTGATGTTTCAGTGAATTCAAGTAAAATATTGTTATGCAATTTTATTGCTATTTGTATAAAATGTAAAGAAGAAAATGACTTACGTGGGATTGGTAATTATGTGTTGTGATAGGATTTTGTGTTTTCATAGTATATTTCATTAGCATTTGTAATTTTTTTGTATGATGATAGCTCACATGCCCGATTAACATTCTTATCTCACACACGTTCTTATCTCAAAAATCCTTTCGGGTTCCACCCCAGTGGCTCTAGAGTTTCCCATGTTAACCTTATGAGAATTCATATTCAAAAGGAATTAAAGAATTTTCAGTTGTTTCAACTACTCAAGTTGGTTTTATAAGTCACGAAGTGACTTAGGCTGCTAGTATTTTTGTAATGAGATATTTAATATGCGTTATAAATTCCATTATATCTTAAATCTTAAAACGTTAAGGGTTCAGCACGAATGGCATATCAATGCCCTCTTAATATTTTTAGTATAAAAAGTTCGTTTGGGGCAACAGTAAATCAATAGGTCTACATGTTCAACTTATATAATACTCAATCCAACAACAACAGCTCAACGCTGGGTACAAAGTACGAGTATTTTGGTACGAATCACTTCAAATTTTACTTTGGACCAATGGCTAGTTTGGTAATTATTGACATTAGAAATTTCCTGTCAGATAAGATGCCTGAGCAGTATTAACTAAACTGTATAATTACGCAGTAAGCGTATCGTACCAAACACATTTTTTTAAATATGTTTTTTAAGTGAATCGATTTAATCTACTTAACGCAAATATTCATTCTCACCTCCATTCCTGTACTAAACACGATTTGTACATGTACCGACTAAACAGCTAACTGTCATCTCATTAATTCAACACTTACTTGATGAAGTTGACTCAGTGTACTCCATAACCTAAGACTAAGTGTGTCGGCGTCGTATAGACTAGTTTAATCCACCACACACTAACCTGACATCCGGTGTCTACGTTGGCGTATATGCCCGGGTGTGCGGGCACTTCAGCGCAGGTGAACTTGGTGTCGGGCACCTCGTGGTAGATAGGGTAGTCTACGCCAGCCTGGCCGGGCACCTTGCTGAGGTCTTGACCCTTGGGCTTCTTAGGCTTGGGAGGCTGGTAGGCCTGTGGCTGGTAGTAGGCTGGGGCGGCTGGTGCAGAAGGCTGGTAGTAGGCTGGAGCCGGCTGGTAGGCTACTTGAGGAGCTACTGGCTGCAATATTGGAATACATTATTTTCAGATGTTAGTGAAAGGAGTGTAGGTAATTTATTACAGTGAAATGTCTAAATAAAACACTGTGAAAGTCAACGTAAAGGAGAATAATCCCTCCCGTAGATCTAAGCATGTATTCATATTTTCTGTCTGTTAACCCTGAGAATGATTAAATTGCTCGTGACTGTGCATACACCCGAAGTACTTTTTTCTGTGATCAGTGGTTAAAGCACAATTTGTTTGTCGAACCCTTTAGCTATATTGTTGGTCTTAGCCAAAGTGGTAGTGTCATTCTTGATCTAGGTAACTTGAGAGTTTCAGGAGGCACAAAAGGGGCCATAAACTGTTTATATACATACACGTTCGATTAACAAGAAAAACCTTGGGTGTTTTTGAGGAAATATCAAAAATCTCTAAAACCCACAACCCGAGTAATACTGCGTGTTCAATCATACTAATTATACTAATCTTCTCAGACTTAAGTAACAATGTTAAGAAATGGTCGAAAAACATGCAAAACAAATGGAATATGTAATAAAAATGGTGGAAAACACGTAGAACACTTAGTTTTAAGATAGAGTATTCAAACCAGTTAATAAATAATAATTGATTGCCGTGAAATGAGAAGTAAATTTTTTGGCCACCCTGTATATAACGCCACACAACTGATTAAAAATAATATGTAGGGTTATTAGTCTAACATCGTGTGATTGGTAGGAATCTGTATTAAGTATAAGCAATTTTTGACACTTACGTGAATTTAATGAAAAAATGTTTGTTGCTCTACGTTTTATATCCTAAGATTAATTAGATACAATAAAGACATTTCAAAATAAGTTATTGACAGTGAAAAACAATGTATTGAAAAAAATATTTGTATACAATGCAAAATTCATTGGACCGTTACTATTAAATTGCCAAGGTAATACTGTTTTTGATGTGACCAGTAGGATTTCGGTAGGGTGGCGTCGGGAGGTCTTGCCGTCATACCTTCGACAAATTTAATTTTCACTGTAGGCCTTAACTTGATTTATGATCATAAAGGTTCACCATTTATAAATTTAAAAAAATTATGCTAGCTTACTGCTATTTTAATTATCAACCATCCACAATAAAGTTGATCTAAATAACAAAAGTTGCGCTAAAGGTGTCGTAAAAATATTTATTTTAAATATTTTTAGCAGTTAAAGCTCTAGTCTGTTTCCCTATAAAAGGAGACAATTTTACTTTAGTTACTGTAAGGGAAAAAAATTAACAAATTGTAGACAACCATCAAAATATTGAATGCCAAATTTAGCTAATATTTTTTACGAAAGTGAGGACAGGTCTGCAACCTTTTTATAGTTATAAGGGAGTTCAATAAAGAGTAATCAGCTAAAAAATACATCTAGCTGAAAGAAGATTAAAACAAACAGCCAGGGAGGCGACCGAAGAAAAATAGAGCCAGGATGGCGAAAGAAGATTAAAGCAAATAGCCAGGGAGGTGAATGAAGACAACATATAGCCAAGGAGGCGAATGAAGACAACATATAGCCAAGGAGGCGAATGAAGACAACATATAGCCAAGGAGGCGAATGAAGACAACAAATAGCCAGGGAGGCGAATGAAGACAACATATAGCCAAGGAGGCGAATGGAGAAAGATAGAGCCAGGGAGGCGTTTCAAGATGAAATAGAGCCAAGGTGGCATATCAAGATAAAATAGAGCCAAGAGACGATTCAAGAAAAATGTCCAAGAAGACGAATCGCGAGATATTAGCAAATAGCCAGGGTGGCTCATAAAGGTAAAGGCGAAGGGCCAAGTCCGTGGCACTACTGACTGAGCTTCCAACTCACCAGTACAGTACAGTGCAGAAGTATGTTTTTATGAATAAAAATTATAAAATACAGAAGCAAATCCTAATTACAAATCTGTGTAACTACCATGACTATTAGCTTTTCGAAAGTGCACAGGTGCGATGGGGTCTAGACGTTCAATAACTACCTACTCCACTCCTAACTATGATAATATTGTGATGGTAATTACGTCATTGCAGGTGTGGCAAAGTGTAACACCTCTTTTCTTATTTCAAAAATTTAATATAACGTAAAAACGTATCAAAATTCGCACCACTAAGCCTACAGTAATTCAATATTTATCTCTAAAATGTGCAGCATCTATATATAAAACTAGAAAGAGTCTAAAATGCGGAAAATTCGTAACTTGAATAAAAATTTGAAATGGGATTCATACTAATCGCTTGGGTAACGATTATACCTAAAAATTTCTTTTAAAGAATGATAATTTAAAAACTACGTGTAGGCCTATATAATATTTCAATAAATTACCATTCAAAAGTACTGATATTTTGTAGTATTTTCTTAAAAAAAATGTTGGCGGCCTCTTTTAACCTTGCATTTGCCCGTCCACACAAACTAAAGATCTGTGCGTGGAACGTATCCAGCGTAGCAACGGGTGAGCCGGTACAGTACAAAGGTGAACTTACTGATAAAATGTTTGCGGCCGTGACCAGGATCCGAACCCACGACATCGCTGCCTTGGGCCCGCAAAAATAAGACTATTCTACATTTGTAGAGGACTAAAGGAAACGTAGTATATAAGATATATATTTTGCAGAACATCATACGAATTTTATCCTTAAAATAGGGTTTAATTGTTTCTTGAAAGGATTGCTACTTAATACCTTGCAGAAATTCCATTATGTCGGTCGTAGTTTTTGCTCTTATCATCGTAAACGGTCATTTCGATGCTCTACACTCTACAGGCTTTATAACATCACAATATGTGTCGCTTAACAGTACTGTAGTCTACTACCTGGTAGTAAGGTGCAGGTGCAGGTTGGTAGTAGGCGGGGGCTGGCGCTGCCTGGTAGGCTGGCTGGGCAGCTGGCTGGTAGTATGATGGCTGGGGAGGAGCTGCCGGCTTCTTGTAGTAGGCTTGAGGTGAGGGCTTCTGGTAGTAAGGCGCCTGGCGTTTCTGTAAGAGAATCAAAATTGCGATTTTTTTTATCAAATCCAAATTACCAATAATGAATTCCCAGTTTTAAACCTTTTAAATAGAAAGTAAATAGATAAACATAAAGGTCTGATTTACCCTTCAAGAGCCAACCATTTTGAAGCTCGGTAGGCCAAAATCTTGTTGAACAAATATTTTTGTAAGTGGAATAAACCTGTAAGAAGGCACAAATGAACACGAACTTGAAAAATAATACTAAGTTAAAGTTACTGAGGAGTACAGATTATTAGCCTACATTATTTTTCATCATTTCGCTCTAATAGGTCATAGGATTGCTGATGTCGAAGAGACCACTCGCATTCTTATAAACATATGCAATGAATACAAATATGTATAATATTGAACTGTAATTTTCATCTACAAAAAGACGTTCAATATCTGCGAGTTGCGACACACTAGGGCTAGATCACTCCGTTAACTGTAATACTGTAATACTGTTCTATGAAATGGCGACCATACAAAGTAGGTATTTTAAGCCAAGTATGAATGGAGATGAGTGTAGGATGAGTGGCGCGATCTTGTAGTCTTGTTAGTGACTAAGGCCGACATTCCTTAGACACAGCTGTTAATTAATAGCCCATACAGCTAATGGCAACTAAGGGACCTACAGTTTATAGTGGAATCCGAACCACATTTTTGCCTTGGTAAATACGAATTGGTCTAATTATCAGGATAGTACTGCTGATAGTCGCAGTACTCACCCGTGCGGACGTTAATCCACACAAGGGAGTATCGCATCCACAGTGCATGCCTATAAATATCCACAATTCATTAACAATGTAAAAACAAATACCAAGTCCGAAGGCGCATCGTCCGAATACCTCAACAAATCCTGGCTCAGTATGACTAAAAATAATAAATTTGCATTTAATGTTTTCTAATATAAAAACAGTTGCCTAAAAAATGTTCAATTACAATAGTTACATTTACAGTATTCCAAGAACGAGTGTACGATTGTAAAACTCTTTTGCGTTACATTCATTTCCGAAATTGAAAAAAAATGTTGTTAATTTTTCATTTTGTAGTTAAAGTAGAGGTTTTATAAAAACCAAATACATTAAAATCGTATGATAAGTATATATTACATCGATTTATGAAACAAATAAACAAACAACTTAGTAGCATTTTATCTCATTTGTTGGTGGCGTTATATTCGAAAAAAAAACCTTACTATAGTTATTGAGTTGGATTGGATTGGCGTTGAAAGATTTTCTTTATTTTATTCCTAAAAACCAGAAGCAACAAATAAAGATTAGATATAGGGTTATATGTTTATCATCCGCATGAAAGAACAATAGACAATTTTAATATTACATTAATGTCGTCTGGTTTATGTACAGAACGTTTTTTGTTTACTATTTTTTTCCTTTTCAACTAATTAATTTAGTTTAAAACCGATTTAATTAAAAACTATAGCCTGCCCTGTGACATTACCTTTTTGCAATTGTAAAATTTATTCTAAAATAAGAAATATTTAGTTGACACCAGTATTTACTCTAAGCCAATACGAAACACAAAAAATAAAGTTTAAGATTTTACGAAAAAATATTTTCACTATTCAAAGCCAATAAAAATACGTTTCAAAATACCTCTTACAAGGCAGAATATTAATTTAATTTCTTAATTGTATTTTTTATTGTAATACAAACTGTAGAACTATTTTAGAATATTTCTTTTAGCTACACAACATGTTCTTACCTCTACATCCTTAGCCAGGACGGCGGCGCACAGGAACAGTAGGATTTGCACGGCGTGTTTCATGTTTGGCTCACTATCACAGACTCCAGGACCCAGGACAAGGGCTCCACCTCCACCTCAGGACCGCTTTCACTACCCTTGCATCACCTCGGCAACCTGCGTGTATACACTACACTGACCCACACATGTAGACTAGTTCAATATGTTGTATGGTGGAAAAGATTTCATAGATGTGCATAGTTGCCAACATGCGTGGATTATGTTTAGTCGGCTCAGAGTAACGAATTTATGCAAACTTGTAACATCATGAGTGTTGCATTCTTTGTAATTCTCTATGAGCGGGTTGCCTCCTCACATAGCACGATTAATACATGTATTATTGTTTATATAAATATACTACTTTTATCTAGTATATTTGTAGACTCATGACGTGTAGTCTAGTAAATAGTACCACAGAATCTTAAGATAGCGTACAAATAAAATAAAGTTCATGTTACAGCTTTCCAGAATATCGAAGCTCGGATTGCTTGAACGAAATTTTAAATTTGTAAGGGATATTGCCTCAAAGAAAAATTAAATGTATATCAATTACTTGCTGAAACCAACAATTAAAAATCATAAAGTGAAAAAAACAACTGTAATCAACTCTACTTGGTATAGATTGGTAGTGTTACCTAATTTTTTGGAACAAAATAAAGCTGATATAAACGAATGACAGGAAGTCTTACAACGACTTAATTACAGTATTGATTTTTCATGGAATCTATATAATTAATACGCTACATGAAACTTTGTCGGTTGAACTCCTCCGCCACTTCTTAACCGATTTTATCCATTGACGTCTCATTGGAAAGAGCGTGTCGCGTAGATTTGCAAACTGGCCTTACATTTTTTTTAAATCCCTTGGGATTTGCCCCAGTGGCTTTGAAAGTTCCCATGTTATCCTTATGAAGAACATAATTGTTTACATTTTGATCAGCTGTATAATTTAATTGCTGTTATTTATTTTTGAATTCAATGAAATGCGTTGAGTACATTTATTTACTATTTGAGTTTGTGTAAACATAACCCCCAAGACGGATCGTGTTAGTATGGTTGTATCTTAAATCTGTGTATTTATCGTTGTTTTGTGTCGCTATGACGGATCGTGTTAGCATGATTGTAATTTAAATTTGTGCATTCATCGTTGTTTTGTGTAGCTATAATTTGTGTATTTGTTTTTTTTATGCCTCCGACGCAAAGACAACGAAACATAAACAGGAGGCGTAATCGTGATAACGACCGCAGCTACAGAAACAGAACAGTGTGGTGCGTAATAGGCTTAACTCATCACAGTCAGCACCTGACCCTGGACAAACTAAACCATTAGGTTAAAAATGCGCCCTTTAACACTACCCCAAAACGACTTTTCGTTCTCAATTAGTTCTCTATCATGACCTGTGTTGCCTGTACAGCGAGGCATTTTAAGAAGGAGAAAACCGGCCGGAATGCTTTAGGTTTATCAATAACGAAGATAAACATGACTCAGACCATAGTACACATACAGTACAGACCATACAGTACACACCGGTAATCTTATTGAGTTGAGTCTTTTAAACACATTGTAAATATGACTGTTATTCGTTTTGAAATAATTCCTGTAATACTTTGCAATTGCTCGAATTCGAGCAACATGTACACTAGTTTACAATATTGAGCAATGAAAAAAATTGAGGTACATTGTGAATGAGGCCAAGGTCCACATCGGGTTGTACTGCCAAGGGGTGAGGTAAAGCAGAGACCACAGAATTAAATATTATTTTTTTTAATTCTGTGGTCGCAGAGGTAAAGTAATAATAAACAATGTGCATAGGCTCCAGTGGAAGAAGAGTGGAAGAAAGATTACAGGAAGAAAGTGGAATATCGAAGTATTTGTGTGTTAGGAAACATTAGATGTACATTATCAAGGTGACACGGATTGGTGTTATCAAAGTCAAGGTCATTGTATGACCTCCATATCAACCGTTAAGGCAAGCGATAAGTAGCGACTTTTAATAATTAAAACCCACTCACTTTTCAACAATAGTGACCAAGTATTGTGGTTTTATGAATATTTGAAACGATTTAGCACTAAAATGCTGTATTCAACACTTTATTTTCAACTATATCTTCAAGAAGTGTGTATATTTAAAACAAGTGATTATAACTAGAAAAACATTTTTATCTATGTTCAGTTTAGTTGTTTAGGTGTTGTTGTTGCTTAGTTCTTAGTATAGTATTTCTATTAACTAAGTGAAGTGTTAGTGTACTAAGTTTAGTGTTGCCAATATTATGGTGGTAAAGTTCAAGATATGTTTAAAACATAATAAATATTATATTTAACCAAACATATTGGACCTAAAGAGTTAAATCCTGTTTAATTAAGCAAGGGGGTAAAACAAAATATGTTTGTCATTTTTTACATGCCCCGCGGATGCACATGCAGCACTTGCCTATGTTTCTGATAGCTTGCAGGACGAAAATCAATTAAAAGCTGCAGAAATATTGTATGCTTATAAAATTTTGTAAATTATTAATCTAATTTAGTAAGTCTTGGCTGTTATAGCAATATAATAAACGAATAAAAAATCGTCAATCAAACTTATTCAACTTTTCCACAATAATGCTAGTCCTTAATTTTGTTTTAAATGATATTTAGTATCACTAAGCTTATTGAACATTATTTTTTTATATCAATTTACAGCTTTAAATCGACGTAAAAGGTACACAATGTTATACGTTTGCAGTTTAAAGTTGTAATGACTCAAAATTCAATGTTTATAAATATAGTCCTTATTTAAATTCCAAACTCAATCTTGTTATATTTTCCATATTTATTCATGTTCATTGTTAATTATTAAAACCATATTGTCTCAACATATATATAATTTATAATCAAAATTTATTCATTGGATTATCCAAAATTATTATTCAAAACAATTCCTCCATTTAAAATACAGTGCATCTGGGATCAAGATTACAAGTAAATTTCAACCATGTTTTTATTTATCTGAACCCCATAACTTTTTTTTTTTAACTATTAGTTGTAAAATAAATTGTGAAATTATCAAATAAAATATTGGCAAGCTATCCAAGTCAAGTTAACTGAAGAAAGAAGAATTTAGGCCTACATTATTAAGAAGAAAATTATTATTATAGAAGATTGGTGAGAAAATTCCATTTAAGTTATTAAGTTATTAACTCAGACTATAGACTCCTCAAACATACATTTGGGCCCAACTTACCTCCATTCATTAAAATTAAAATCCTTCCTCTATTTATTGTTTCTAAAATATTATTTAATTTATAACTTACCGTACTTATTGAAAATTTAAATTAGGCATCAACGAAATCTTTTGATTCAGTCTGCACGAATCCCCACCCCTGAACAATTTTTGTAACCTTATTTTAATCATTTATGTAAATTATCATTAAACCTTGTACTTTAAAACCTCTGTCCTCGTAATTATTATTGTTTAAACTGAGATAAGATTAGAATAACACCATATTTAGGGGTTTATTTCTAAGTTGGGTGCTCTGGAAATACTAATTATTCTGTAGGATTTATAATTATCAACATAAGTATAAGACAATATCACAAACCATTGATTGGGGACATTATTAAGGTTATCTAAATGTAATGGAACCATTTAAAATATAATCTGACGTAAATTGATAAAAGGTGTTGGTTTCATTTTTAAACTCTTGAATCTGCATGTGATCCCAGAAATCTGTTAACACTGTTTACCACGGGAAAGAAAAGTTTTCAAAGATTCCTATGTATTTTAATTCATTCTATTTTTTATACACTAAAATAAATGATTATTGAGCCTAAAACTTTGATTCCGTGCTTCCGAATACTACCGACATATACAAGTGGTATTTTTCTTTAGTGATTATGTTTGAATACAAATTCAATCAAGTCTATAAGAAAGAACCATGAGGTCCTAAGTTCGCCTCAAGAAAGAAGGTTTTTCATTTCATTTCATCAAGCAACTGATTTTTTTTTATTTGCTGTGACACGTGTATTACGTTTCTATATTATATTGTTAACTATTGGATACTGAAGATGTATTAATAGTAAAATATTCATTGTCATTAACCATTAAAATGTACGTTACTGGTTGATCTCGTAAACCTAATATCGTTTGTTAAAAAATAAAACTCTTCTTGGAGCTTTTCGTAAAATTAGGCATTTTTTTGTAATTTTATTTGTTAAATTTAAAATGGTCACCAGTTTCAAAACCAAAAATATTTTTAAATGATTATTATTTGTCTTAAATGACTGAATAAAATAGTACACCCAGTTGCATAAAAAAATCCTTAATGGTTTTTTAGATTAGTTTAAAATAAACAAAAGTATAGCGGATGTATTTCATTAAAAAGGTGTTGTTGGAAAAAATATTATTCCTTATTTTGACCAAGATACCACTACGTAAATTAGGTCCATACAATTTTTCAACACCCTGTAGGAACAAGATAGTTTTCTCTTTAAAAACGTGGATGTAAGTACCCAATAATGTTACATAATATTTTACAATGTAATTGAGCCTCAAAACCTTAAAGCCTATTTAGACATCGACATACTTCTCCGAGAGGGCAGAACATTAAGTAGTTAAACATTAAAAAAGTATTAATTTAATATAGGTATAAATGTTGTCAATCCTTGACCACTACGAGACAAGTGACCTTTACACTTGACAGGTTTTAGTTCAAGGTCAGCGTAACTTCTCATCCCACGACCCCACAAGATATGGGAAGTTCGCATGTTACGACAAAACCAACCTAAGGACCTCGGGTTAAAACAAAGGATACGCTTACAATTAAGTAGAAAAATACGGAATATTCATTGCTGTTAGATTCTATTAAGTGTATACTTGGGAAATTATAATTAACCCCTTATTTAATACCTTTCAATGAAATGGCGACTATACAAAGTAGGTAATTTAAGCCAAGTATGAATGGAGATGACTGTAGGATGAGTGGCGCGATCTTGTAGTCTTGTTAGTGACTAAGGCCGACTTATTCCTTAGACACAGCTGTTAATTAATAGCAAATACAGCTAATGGCAACTAAGGGACCTCAGTTTATAGTGGAATCCGATTTATAGTTTACAGTTTAAAACCTCATCAAGTCATTGAAACTTAGTATTCCCAATATTTTTTTAGAGAATTGTTGTTAATAAATACTAAATTTGTATATTTAATTTATCCTCATTGATACTGTGACGAACAAGTTTTGATAAAAACGTACGCAGTCGGTAAAAATAACTCAATAAATGCCATAAATCAAACATTTTACTCCTTGTATACTTATCATAATCACGTATCAGCTAAGGAAGATTTACAGTAGTCTTTGTACCCGACATAAGTACACGTTTTGATGCTCAATATTTACTCCTTGCTCCATCTATATCGTATAGAATAATGAAGTTTTTGGTTACTGTTACGTTTCATAGGGGATTTATTAGAAAGCTTTTCCTTGACCAGATATTACCAAAGCGTGTGCACTTAATTCAGTCTAATATCACAAAAATATTTAGTCTACGAAGAATATTCAAACATGCACAGACATGTAACGCATCAAATTAGAATTCAGATTCAATGATCAAGAAGTCAGCTTGCAGTATCTAAAATCAACTTATATACAAACTCGGAAAAAGTTATCTCCAACAAATTGTATCCAACGATTGGAATTAGTAAAACAATTACTCTTCTAGGAATAGAACCATTAATAATGACAATAAATGTCATGTTACAGACTATATGGTCGACAGAGACAAATTGAGTGATATCTTTGAACTTGGACTTGCAACACCGAACTGACCACAACAGTAACACGCAACCGAGTAATGGAGGTCAAGTAAAGTCAAACAGTAAAGACATGGATTATGGTTTTTATACTACTTTATCCAGCTGATATTTATATTTCACAATGCAGTCTAAGGCTTTGGGTTCAGGTGTCTATGGCTTTACTTAGCTAGTTTTATCTTGACTACACCTTTTTATTTTTCACAGCCAAGTTTAAGCATTGACTATACACCTCTACCTGTAGAGGTGTATAGTCAATGATTGGTTAAAGCTATATACCATGTTGGACAAAATAACTTAGTTTAATTCAAAGCATCTTCTAATATCTGAAGTATTTTTAGCCAACTCAAACTGCCAAGACAACTTATTAAGCAAATTTGAAGCAATTTCAATCGTCACAGCGACGAAATCTAAAAGGGAAAATATAGTTTTAACACTATCATAGATAAAACATACTCCGTATCCACAAAAATGAGTATACTGTGAGAAGTATCATTCTCGATACTCGTTCTTTTTCTAATTTGTTTCCTTGCAAAAGAATTGGCTACAGCAGCTGGTACACAATGTAGATGAGGCCTACCAAGGCCCGACTAGAAAAAAACCTTTTTCTAGTAGGGCCTTGGGCCTACCCTCATACCCAAGAGTAAATGAATTTTAATTGTTAACAAACTATATAAAAGTGTAAAACGTAAATTAACTACCTCTTCTTTGTTTTATGGTCAAATGTTTGAAGGGCGTTATGTTTAAAAATCTGTTTTGGTTATATGTAATCAAAATATCGATCTTTATGGCAATAGGTAAGGGGGCAAATAGAAATATAATGAGGAAATTAAGCTGTCAAAGAAATCGACCAACAGTTTGGATTAAAAGGTTTTTTAGTTTCTCTAAAGAAATTCTTGAAATATACTTAGGTTTTTAACTTGATGATATTTGATATTCTTAGAGATAATCGGTTACTCTAATTGACACTTTTTATATTTTAGTCAGATTCTAGTAATATTTTCAAACTTTTGTCCACAGCATTAGATTCCAAAGCACCGTCGCCTGGTCTGGTGGCCGAGCCGTGTAATATGTAATGCAGTGGTGTAACCCTGGCTAGCGAAAGGAGGTCACTTTCTTATAATTACACCTTTTCAGATTAAAACACTCACTTTTCGCTGAACTGGACGAAACACTTGTGGTCGTTGGTATGATGTTTATTTACCTGTTTTCAATAATTACTGTTACAATAGTATTATTTTCAGTAAACATTATCTATAACATTTTCTGAATAAAATGCATTGTTGAATATTGCAAGCTAACTTTATTTACTATTGGATCACATTGGTGTGGATAGCCTGAGCTAAGTAAATCCACGAATATAAGAACATAAATTGTAGGGGTCGTGAACATAAACAAATGACGTCACTGGACCGAATCCGATACTATTAACATTACATTAATATGGTTTGGACAGTTCAATTGAAATAATAATACAAACATGTTTACTTTCGGGCCAGTGGCATCAGTTCTTTATTTTGTGCTAAGGATTCAGACAGTTTATATAATATTCGTGAGTCATCCTAAAAATATAGCAAAGATTTATCTTCAATAGGTACCCGCATGTATTATCATCCTAACGGATCAGCAAAAGATAGCTTTAAAGGCCCGTTTTGCCAGAAGCGTCTGTTCCTTGCGATTATTTGATCAGTAGTTTACTTAGGTAGAAAAAGGAGTGTTTCTGAAAATTACCTGTAAAAAGCAAAAAGTGAAGTATTTGTTAGCTGAGGAATTAGACGATGATGAGATATTAGAAATTTTGTGCAAACCTAGGGAAGAAATGCGTACTATGTTTTTAAAGAGGCCTGAAGAGGGATATTTTAAATTGTTAATTGAAAATAAAATAACAATTGACTTAACAGTCGTGTGCTGTAATGGCTTCAATCAGTTTCTAATCTTCTTCACTATTAAATCCCCACTTTTTTTGTGACATGTCTCTAAACTTGAAAACACAACTTATTTAAGGAAGCAAATAAAAGTTAAGTCAACAACTGGCATGCTACTGTTCGTCAATGTAAGGTGTATTTCGATATTTCTCTTATTTATTTTACCTACATTAAAACTATTGCAAGCACATAAAACTAGTTTGTCAGAATTTACTGCCACACTGCTAGAAATTAATCGGTATAAACATAAAGCACTCAATTACCTTGAAATATCCTTTGGTGTTAGGTTTTATTTTGCAAGTAGCTGCTTGGTTTTAAGGAATCGTAAAACTAATTCCAGTAAAGTGAGTAATGTACTAAAGTAATTCAAATATTAAGTATGGCCATATACCAACCATGTTTAATCTGTGGCATTGCGTTTGCATAGGACTACACATTATACCTCTATGTTTATATAAAAGCATTGCATATATTCAGTGTTATATACGAAATGCTAAAAGTATCTCTAAGTTACTTATCTGTGTCTACTTAGAAGCCAGATATATCTGTGCCTTACTAGGCAATCAGCTGTATCAATGTGTCTAAAAAAAATCAGTTTTTTGTTTGCAAATAAAAACAAATGTGAAGTTTGCTACAAAAATATTTGTGAATTAATTGCAATTTGACGGAATCAGCAGATTTGACATGAAGGAACTGGAAACCTGTGAACTTCCTGACACAACCAACGTCCTTGAACAATTATGGGATGTTCTGGCAGATCCTGACTGTGAGCAGCAAGAAGAACGGAAGTTGGTGCTGCTGCAAGCTTTCTTTACTGTGGCAGAGGAGCGAATCAAGTTGAGAGATCTGCAACTCGTAACGAAGGTCTTGGACGTCATTGCAAAGAAGGCCGAGGTGGACTCCAAGTACGAGAGACACGTGAAGAAAATATTGGACCTTTTGAACGCCCCAATCAGAATGGAAAGATCCTCAGATCAATTGAATTTTAATGGTTATCTAGTGGAACTTTTCACAGCTTTAGGATACATTCTGCTTCGAACAGCTAACAAATCGGTACAACTTCAAATATTGGACATTATCCTCACTAACTTGTTGACAAAACGTATCGGTGACTCAGACATGATTCCTGTCCCTCAATGTGTCAAAGCTTTAGAGCTGAGTGAGTTAGCTGAATGTCTTTCTGACCTAATTGTGATATCCGAGGATGACGTTTACAGTTTGACAATATTTACTACTTTACAAGTAAGTATGATGTCGAAACTTATCTGTTGGACTCTACTAAGGAAGGAGGTTCTCGAGTCTCTTTTGGTGGGATTAATGCAAATTGGCAATGACGATGTAGCAGGGAATGTGTATGATCTTCTCTGGACATTGCTGACTTGTACCGAATGCGTAGAAGATTGGCAAAAGATTCCTCAGCCTTCCAAAATAGCGTTGAAAAGTTTGAGGTCTGTTTTACGGGAACAAATTTTAACTCATTGCCACCCAGGTAAAAACAGAGAACTGCTACACAATACTGCAGCACTCACCCTCAAAATTATTAATTTGTTCCCATCAGCTGACTATGTTCTATCTGGGTTGATAGAAGACATCACAATTGCAGCCACTTTGAGTGAATCTGTGATTGAAATGCACATAGTTCCTTTCTTTAAATGTAAAGAGGATCATGTTCACTTCAAGAAGCTGATGCTAGCGTGTTTGGCTGCAGCTCCTGTGAATGCTATGAGTGTAGGGATATTCGAAAGGTACAAGCTAGCGGAGTGTTTGGTCTCCATGCTGCGTCTTGACTGTTGTCGAAGTGGGTTGTCCTGGTTGTCAAACTCAGCGTTGTCTCTGGGTTCAGACAAATCATCAATGTCGTACAACTCCAATTTAGTTTGGTTTAATATTGATAAAGAGCAAAGTATCGACCTTTTCAAATCTGCTGTTCCTGTAGTATGTGCTCTCTATGAGGCTCTCCACAAGAGATTCATGAGAGCTGGGTTGATTAATACGTTGACAACGTTTTTATCTGTTCATTATTTACAGGATAAGAATCATATAGATGAGCTGTTTTGGATGGTGATAAGAACTATCTTTTATACCTGCTTTAGTAAACCAAACCAAACATTAGTCAGAAAAGAGTTTGTGAAAGCTGGAGCCGTTCATATTCTATTGGGCTCTTGCAATATCTTGCTGGTCCCAATTAATCCATTGACGATACGAGCTCAATCCATTCTATGTAAAATTTTACACGTTTTAAGCGCTTTGATGGAAGGCCAACCAGAATTGCAATTGAATAACCAATCGAAGTCGATGCAGATAGTAAAATCTCTATATCATAGAATTACCAACCCGCCACCCATAGATTCCGTACTTGATAATAGACTTATTGTAGCAATATCGAATTTCGCTTGGGTTTCTTTGATAAAACATGAAGACAATATGTCAAAATTCATAGACTCCAGCGAAATGTATTCTCATTTGGATATTCTAGAAAGAAGTAACTCACCTACCCAATCAGTGTATTTATCAGTATTAGCAGATATAGCCGAAAGCCACAAAGCTGTGCCCTATTTAGTGTCATGGAGGGGTAGAAAGGGTGTTAAATTCCTCTCACTTCTTTGTCAAATATGGCGCGAAGAAGAGATGCGTCTGAAAGTCCCGAGAAGTGAGCAAGGCTGCATCACCGACATTGAAAGACCACTCATGGGGGAGGATCAGTACAGACTGAGCAAAGCGAAATCAAAGTACGCCGCTGTCTGCGATATGTTTGGAAGTTGCCGTCCAAAGATTTATGCTTTGGTCCAACTTTTACACAGGCACGAGCAAGTTGTAAGTATCTGCGAGGATCACTACAGACTTGGCCACGACATTCTCCCGTGGGAAGACCAAGTTACGATGCAAGTAATAGAATCATATCTCCCTTTGAAGCTCGGGGAGGTTTGGTGGGAGATATTCCACAACCAAGAAGACTTTGTTCCTCTGGACCGGTATCTGGCACAAACTCTTGCAGATAGGTACTTGAACTGGTCTCTCAATGTGCAGAAATCGCAGCATGGTGTGTTGAAGCAGCGTTGCGAACATTTGGAAAAGGAGGAGCAGCAATACTACTCGAAGGTAATTAGTATCTACTAAGCACGTGGTAAGGTTAAATGCTAAGAGTTGAGAAAATGTTTTTACTAATGCAGGAGACGAACCGTAAATCTATGATTTTCAACGTCTGTGAAAGTTGATTATTTACACCAATGTAATCAGCAAGCACCCCTGGGTTCGTCAGGCCCAGAGATTAATACATTTCACAGAAGTTGGGTCGCAGTCCTTGTATAATATGGAAAAGTATCAAAATTGATATATTTGCAGGTGAAAACTAATGTTAAAGTAATTTTATCTTGTTTTTTTCTTTTAGATATAGGCCTAACAATAAGAAAGGAGCTTGAGCTCCTAGGTTACAGAAGTGTCTTCGTTTCATAAAATCCAGTATACAATACTGTTCTCATTTACTATGAATTATTATTACTAGAGGTCGTCCAGTGGTAACTTGACCAAAAGTATCTAATGTAGTACACAGACTTCTCTATTTTCACCCCACGCTGTAAAAAAAACATTTCATTGGAACTTCTTTCATTTTTGAGCCTATTTTAATTTATAAAGGGATTCTGCACACCTACAGGAATATATATTTCCAACAGTATGCGTAGATTTTCCCTAAGATGCTGAGAAAAAGGGGTTTAAAGAAACATGCTTGCCTATTAATATATAGATTAATATATCATTTCGGCTATTACGATCAGTAGTCTTACATAATATCGTGCTAAACTACTGATGGCAATCATATGAAGCTACATCATTTTCAAACAAAGACATAGTCTTACTGATACTTTCAAATCGTCTACATCTACCCTCAACTCGAGGCTGTGATTTGACTAGCCATTAAGTCGACAAGCCAGTTGACTTTTAATCTATTACATCGACATACCAGTTGACCGACTAGTCATTAGATTGACAAGCCACTTGACTGTTTTTTATCTATTATTATTCTCAAATTGTAGGTGCGGTCTGTACGCCTTGCCGACACTCTGGAGTGTCTACGGCAAGTGACTTCCATTGCCAGGACAGCCGACCGTCAAATGTTTCTGGCCACCCAACAGGAACTACGCGAGTGTGTGGAGCATTCCAGACCCGAGCTCCCTCAGGACTTTCACGTGGCCTTCCCGCAGGACGTCCGAGTCCTGGTGGTCGACCCTCGGGCGGAAGTTGTACTGCACGAGTCTGTCTGACTTAACATGAATAAAAATGGTAATGCATTTATACGATTGAAATTTATTTCATATGTGTTTGTCGACGAAATTAAAGTTTGTCACGTTTTTGCAAACGGCTCAAACCCTGATCTTGTTATCATATAACGTCAATTTTTGTTGGATCGTACCATTAATTGACAGCTGTCAAAACAAAACAACACAAGAAAAAAAATCATTCAAGTAAGAACCAAGGAACCAAATCGCTCTGATTTGGATGAGCAAAAACGACCTGCTTGGTGAGCACTATAACCACTCGGCTATTTGGGGAATTATTATCTTTGACTATAGATTCACTGTCGGGCGGTAGAAATTTTTTTCCATGTTAATGTTGTGGCAAATTACTAAAAGTGCTAAACATGACACATTCTGTATTTATGTGTTATGTCAAACTGAGAATCAGTTTATTAATGACTTTACAATAATCTATCATAATATTTAAGCTATAAGTAGAAGAATACTATAAGTATCTGTAAGTAGAAGATACAGTTTAGGTACACACTTTAAGATAGGCTCCTTCAAGTTCAAGTATGTTATCTTTCAATGAAAAATAGTTACAGCTGGTCAATTCAATACAGATGGGGTGTCTGAAATAGTATAGGAAGTCAAGTTATTATATTCCGATCCTTTACACATGTATGTAACAATTGCTAATGTTCTAGGTATTGACTTGTTAACAGACGTTTTTTCTAAGAAGGCTAGTTTATTTATAATACATGTTAAACTAACATATATTTACTTTTAATACAACTTAAAGGCAGGAATAAACTACAAAATTTATTTAATGGGCAGGTAGTAAAATCCTATTATTCGTTTTCATAAGTTTACTTGTTGGGAATGAGATGTTAGGCTTAATTCTACCGGCAAAAGGGGTTTTTTTGTAAGGGTATAATGTACATTCTATTATTTTATTATATTGACCTCTCGGTACCTGTGTTCAAATAATGAATAACATATTACAGTATTTTGATGCGAGTTGTGTTGTATAGGTGCCTTCAATATGCTATCACGCTGAGTTAGAGCGTGGTATATGATATGTTGCATGGCATGAAATGAAGGCAATGAAATAAATACCGGACAGCTACCAGACCGTTGTAGTTTAAGCCTTTTAGTCTAATTTTTCGTAATTTTTTTATTAGAAATTTAAATGTAACATCAAAATGGAGCTTAGAGTGTGTAGATTTGCCGAAAATTATTGGTATGGACACATTCCTTAGGGGCTCAGCCCCACATGCCGATTTCCAAATGGGTACGTCTGACATGCTTCCAAAGTTTGAATTATTTTTTATTTTATTTATTTATTGAAACAGCTGGTTCATGCAATAAACTGTTGTTTGTTTATTTACTCGAAAAATATGATTGTATTGCTTTATTTAGATTGAGGAAATATGTGCATTATTCAAAGGGTTATGTTTGCTTAGAGAAATGTTTTGTTCAGTATTGCACACTGTTTCATTTGTAATTTTAGTAAGCTACATGTAAAGAGGCTTGACTAAAATTGAAGAATTATGTTTAAACATCTCATTCATGAAGCAGAAGAATTAATTAAGTCATGTATGTTATTGCTATACTAAGGTATGTTGTATATTCTTTTGGATCTCTTGGCATCAAAAGTAGGATTTTGAAAGTAGGCCTAAATAGGTTTACATTTTTAAATCAGTTTATCTTTTCAAATTAAATCATAGAGTTGCTGTATTTTTAAACACACATCAGCAACACTTATACACTGTAATGGCTGCCTAGGGCACATTTTCTTTCCGTTGTAGGGTATAGCAGTTCGTATTTATTACTGTAAAACGGTGAACTTAAATAGTCTTTAAAACTGTAAGTCGCTTCATCTGGAAACCTAATAGTGCAAAGTGATAATTGGGTGGTTTTAGGGAATAAAAGTAGACCACCCTTGTCACATAAAACCTGCAGAACATGTAAAAAGCAAAGCGACCAATATGCAACTTCGAAAACTTAATCAATATTTACTTAAGATATCGCTGAGAATAAAATTGACAATCACGGAGTTCGTTTAGCGATGTATATACAGGGTTTTCCTAAATGAAAGGTACGGTTTAAAATACAAATTCGAAAAGAACCATATAAGGTATCTTAAAAATATTTGTTTTATTACAATACTCATAAAAAACGTTGTTGGTGATACATTTAATACATTTCTGTAAGTCCACCATTTAGCCTAGTTCTCTGCAGATATCTAATTGATAGTTGGCGGTGCAACATTGGTCTCGTTACCAATGGTACTGCCTCAAAATCATTTCCTTTATGAGCAATATCACGAATCTTCTTAGAGTGCATCATATTTTTTACGTATCCCCATAAGAAAAAAAACACATGGAATTAAATCTGGACTTCTAGGTGGTCATGTTATTTGGCCTCCTCGACCTAAAAATCTTTATCCTAACTTGACATTCAACACATCATGAACAAGGTTTTTGTGGTAGGCTGGCGCACCATCCTGTCGAAATAACACAATATTCAAATTTTCAAAATAATAAATCTGAGGAATACAGAACTTTTCAAGCATACTAGGTAAATATTACACACAGTATTTTCACACGCACAGTGTTCTCGGCAAATAAAAAAGCTTTAATTGCTAGATATTGAGGACGTTCCTAACCCTATATTCGAACGTCATGTCTATTGACATGACACCCATCAACATGAAAAGTTGCCTAATCTGTAATTATCACATAGTTCAAAAATGACTCATTTATTACAATCCGGTTTAAGATCAGGTCCCATAAGTAGTTACTGATCCCATTCGTACGAACTGTTTACTCCAACGTTTGGTGTTATTTTATGAGGAGCAGCTTTATTAAATAATCTTCTAAAAGTTATTTGACTACAACAACTGACTTTAATTTATTTAACAATTTTAGCACCCACTGTACTATCTCTTGATCAGTTAACATATTTTGGATCAAATTTAAATATTTTGAGTAACTGCAAACGTCAACGACAACAATGAAACAGCTGTTTTCATGACAGTGTATCAAAACTATGTGAGCCAAAGAATTCAAAGTTATCAAACAAAATCTACATCATTTTTCTACCTCGCGTGGTAAATTTTGTATAAGCGTTCCAAACTGCAACATTAGGAACACCCTATACAGGGTGTCCCGGAACTCTCTACCAATATTTTAGGGCATTCCTCATGGGTAAGAAACATAACTAAATATCATATTTAAACTGTCCGGAAGTCCTTAGTTACTCACACAGCCGCCATTTTGTTTTTTTCACTTATTAATTTTTTTGTAAAGAATGGTTAAACATACGAAATGGAAACTTTGCACAAACATTTATGACAACTATACAAAGCTACCAAAAAATTGTCACGATTTTTCAAATTCATAAAACAAAATGGCGGCCATTTAAATTTTTTGTAAAATCAATGGCTTTTGAGTTATTTAAGAAAAAAAACTTAAATGGCCACCATTTTTTTTATGAATTTGAAAAATCTTCATAATTTTTTTGTAGCTTTGTCTAGTTGTCATAAATGTTTGTGCAAAGTTTCCATTTCGTATGTTTAACCATTCTTTAGAAAAAAATTAATAACTGAAAAAAAACAAAATGGCGGCTGTGTGAGTAACTAATGACTTCCGGACAATTTAAATATGATATTTAGGTACGTTTCTTACCCAGGATCACTGCCCTAAAATATTGGTAGAGAGTTCCGGGACACCCTGTATATCGGTAGCCTTTCAGCCTAGAATAATAATGTTGTGTACACTTAGTGCTTTGTAATTTTAAGACGGATCAAATCCGAAAGTGGACGAGAAGAATAGCTCATGAATGAACTCATGAATCCTTCTTGGCGTTGTTAAAATACCCTCGACTAATCCTTTTCATACGATGACATTTACCTGAAGCAAATAAATATATGAAAAGTAGGTCTATAGATCAGCTCGTCTAAAGAATGTCAGTATACCTTTCAGACCGTTGACATAGTGCAGCGATTCTGGCGCGAAGGACGATAGCAGACGTGCGTTTGTTTACCCTTCAACAATAGGCAGCTGATTGACAAAACAGCTGATGCAAAAACATTGATCGTCACGACAATCCTTTCACCAAGAGTTGAGTAAAGATTGTTTGGTTTCATTCAACAGCGGCCAAGGTCTCGCATGGCATAACCGGTAAATGACTGGTTAAATCGTTACAGCTTTTTTTGTGGTAGGGTGCCAAATTAGTTTAATCTCGTATAGGTAAAGGAACTAACTACAACTGGAACTGGTTATATGGATGGGGTGTCTACAGCATTTAAGCCAATGCTTAAGGCTAGTGGAATTAATAAGCAAGCAAGGATTGATCAGTTCAATAATGGAGTCCCAGCCTCAAATCCTACCCATTACCACTCGTCTTTAAGTTATATCGCATAAAGTAACGACCTGAAGCATGATAAGCCTATCGAAAAAAGTATTCTTTAAAAAAAAAAACTCTCCTCTAAGAGTAGTACAATTATTATTGGTTAGCTCCACTCTTGAATAAAAGTACAGAAGTATGATAATACGGTATTGAAGTGTATTGAATAGGCCTACACAACCTTGTGCAACAACCTCGCACGATGTCTTCTTCTGATATCTCCACCACGAGTGTCACGTGTATCTTCACGACCTGCATGATTGCCTGAATCTAAGATTTAGGCGTGTGGCAAGTTAGCCAAGGTAATGAGAAATGCAGAAATATGTATCCTCAATGAGCGTGAAAGGCGTTTAGTGCGCACTTCGTAACATTAGTAAGGCCGATCTTAGGTGAAACTGTGACTTCTGGACATTTAGTCTCGGCTGGGGTGTAATGGTACCAATCAAATATTGTTGCAACAAAACGTCATCAGCATGTAATAACAAGACAAGAAGAAAAAAAAGTGGAAGCGATAATTAGCAATTCCACTCGTAAATGTGGAGAATTTCCCAACATGCATGTGCATATGCAAGTGTTTGCTAAATTTGCAAACAAATCAGACATAAATGACCAAATCAGATGAGATGAGCCAATTTTCAAAGTTTCTTGAAACACCTACTAAGATTCAGTCAAATCCCCTAGAGGGTTGTTTGGTTTGATATGAGTTTATGTATTGCACAGCACACTCCCAATTCCTTAGATGGTATCGGTTTACCATATCTTACTAGATGTAGCCTAGTGAAACTCAAAATTATAACAATTATAACTGGGAGTTTGCTTAGTTTGCTGTAACGGTTACGTTATCCTAACTCAAACACCGAACCAATAAATAAACACACAATGTATCTAAATAATAATTATTAAGTATGAGCTAAGCGTCCCCTCACAAAAGCTAATTTTTAAATATACGGTGAATCAGTGGCTCAGTCAGTAGCTCTGGACTAGGAATCCAAGGCAGCGATGTCTTGGGTTTGAATCTTATAGGTCATCCAATAAAAGTAAGTAATCCACGGTCTACTCCTGTACTGTCCCAGCTCACCCATTGAATACGCACCATGTACATCATGTACATTCCAAACCAAGGATAAAAGAGACCTCCAAAAATAAAAGACAAATTCTTATGAGACAACATGCTATTCACGGTCGCAGTAGCAGCGTGTCCCATGGACCACAAAGGTATTCTGCAACACTCACACGCTCGCTCGGTCGTGTGTAGAGTGCAGATATTGCTCAGATCGTGACTGGCGTTGAGCTACAATCCCAGTCACTGCAAACCGTGCAGTTGTGTCCATGAACTGGATGTAACGGATGAGTAAACTGATTAATGAGTACTCATGAATAGATTAAGTTATGGCACAGACAATGGAATAAAACATTAAAGTATTATATTGTCTGTGGTTATGGTGAAATGAGAGTGAACTGCGACATATTTAGCATTTTCTATTGGGACTAGAGTTCTCGTGGTAAAACGTAATGTAAACGGATGAGTAAACTGAATAATGAGTACTCATGAATATATAAAGTTACTAGCTGACCCGGCGAACTTCGTATCGCCTAAGTTATAGGTTCCCCTAAGACAGACCGATGGAAAGAAAGTACCGTTACGTTTACTTTTCAAGATGATCTCGTTCGCATCGCTCAATCACGTCCTGGTTGAAGTTCGTTCGCTACGCTCACTCACCGTTGGGTTGGAGCTCGTTCGCTGCGCTCACTTGCCTTTAGGTAGGAGCTCGTTCGCTACGCTAACTCGCCTCCAGGTTAGCTCGTTCGCTACGCTCACTCGCCTCCAGGTTGAAGTTCGTTCGCTACGCTCACTCACCTTTGGGTTGGAGCTCGTTCGCTGCGCTCACTTGCCTTTAGCTTGGAGCTCGTTCGCTACGCTAACTCGCCTCCAGGTTAGCTCGTTCGCTACGCTCACTCGCCTCCAGGTTGAAGTTCGTTCGCTACGCTCACTCACCTTTGGGTTGGAGCTCGTTCGCTACGCTAACTCGCCTCCAGGTTAGCTCGTTCGCTACGCTCACTCGCCTCCAGGTTGAAGTTCGTTCGCTACGCTCACTCACCTTTTGGTTGCAAATTAGCTGTTGTCATAAATGTAAAAGAAATAATAGTGCTGCACCCTGTTGGTAATCCTTGTAACTTTAATGCTATTTAATTGAAACAGCTGTTAAGATTCATTAATTCCATTTCTCATAAGGTTAACATGGGAAACTCCAGAGCCACTGGGGCGGAGCCCTTTTAAGAATTTCGAAACGGGAAATAGTTTACTTTCTATTCGCATACCTACAGAATTTACACACCAAATTTCATAACGATCGGTGAAGTCGTTCCGGAGGAGTTTGCAGACAAACACTGTGACACGAGAATTTTATATATTAGATGGTGAAATGAGAGTGAACTGCGACATATTTAGCATTTTCTATTGGGACTAGAGTTCTCGTGGTAAAACGTAATGTAAACGGATGAGTAAACTGAATAATGAGTACTCATGAATATATAAAGTTATGGTGAAATGAGAGTGAACTGCGACATATTTAGCATTTTCTATTGGGACTAGAGTTCTCGTGGTAAAACGTAATGTAAACGGATGAGTAAACTGAATAATGAGTACTCATGAATATATAAAGTTATGGTGAAATGAGAGTGAACTGCGACATATTTAGCATTTTGTATTGGGACTAGAGTTCTCGTGGTAAAACGTAATGTAAACGGATGAGTAAACTGAATAATGAGTACTCATGAATATATAAAGTTATGGTGAAATGAGAGTGAACTGCGACATATTTAGCATTTTGTATTGGGACTAGAGTTCTCGTGGTAAAACGTAATGTAAACGGATGAGTAAACTGAATAATGAGTACTCATGAATATATAAAGTTATGGTGAAATGAGAGTGAACTGCGACATATTTAGCATTTTCTATTGGGACTAGAGTTCTCGTGGTAAAACGTAATGTAAACGGATGAGTAAACTGAATAATGAGTACTCATGAATATATAAAGTTATGGTGAAATGAGAGTGAACTGCGACATATTTAGCATTTTGTATTGGGACTAGAGTTCTCGTGGTAAAACGTAATGTAAACGGATGAGTAAACTGAATAATGAGTACTCATGAATAGATAAAGTTATGGTGAAATGAGAGTGAACTGCGACATATTTAGCATTTTCTATTGGGACTAGAGTTCTCGTGGTAAAACGTAATGTAAACGGATGAGTAAACTGAATAATGAGTACTCATGAATATATAAAGTTATGGTGAAATGAGAATATATTTAAGCATTTTCGATTCTGATTAGAGTCCTCGTGGTAAAACGTCAGACCTGCACCATTGTACGTTTTCGTTTGCCTCAGTAGCCAAACAAACAGTATGTTAAAGTTTTCTAAACGTTTAATGTGTATCACTCCGTCGTGTCGAAACAATAAACGAACATTACGTTATTACACATTAGGTCAAATACAAATTCGAAACTCATTAAGCCTGATTTTTTTGAGAATACGTGAAAATGTACGGCTCGTAGTAAAAATTCTATTCAAAAGCAAGACAGTTCGTTAAGATAAGAATGCCTCCTTCCTAGTAAAACATGCTAGGGCAGAGTTCAGATTTATATGGTGATTTTATAAATACTCTAAAATAATAATAAACATGTGCCTTTACATAACTGGTATTCTGCTAGGTAACTCACCTCCGACAATCTGACTTATTACATCAGCTGGACAGATTGTTGAGTCCATTGTTGCTCAGCTGATTGTATACGTCAGCTGATGAGTCCAGTGCTGGACACCTTCACCAAGCTAATTACAGCTTTCTTCACTCACGTTCAAGAGGCTCGCACGGATTGGCTTTTTGATCGTTAGTTGACATTTACTCCTTCTTCTTCTCACTTCCGGTGTATCCTGCGATCCTCGTGCACGTCAGGACGCGTGCCTACAGGTAATAACATGTTGAGACATGATTGCTGCGCGATGACCTGATATCACGGCTTCCACTTAGCGATTCCCCCAGATGACACAACTGCATCTACTGTATGTGGCTTGGTGTGGTGGAACTGATCACTAGATGATCCTGTATCCATGAGGACGTCGTTTCTGCATTATCCTCAGCACGGTTCGAGTGTTAGCGTAGCACTTGTTACGGTTGATGAAGTAACCTGTATATGTAACTGGGAAGTTATGTGTATGTGTATTACCATGTGGATAGCAAAAACATGTTTAACTAACAGCCAAGAGTATTTATACTGCATAACATGTTTCAATTATTTGTAATTTTCCAGTAAGCTATTGATGTTTTTCATACCACTGGTTATTTTATTTTTTAAATCCGGATGGAAGTCTTGTCTCGTGTGTATCATTCGTTTACTGGTTACGAAGAATTATATGCTAAGTAATTGTTGGGATATACCAAGAGTAAAAGATGAAATTTCATTTTTTTCGGTTGACCCAAATCGACAAACTAATACTGTACATTCAAAACCAAGGGTTTAAAATGTATACATTTGTACTACAGCTATGACCTTATGCAGCCCTGGTTTATTCCACTTTTGTACTGCTCTACTTTTTGTAGACATTCAGTTTATTCAAGCATATACAATAACTTAACAATTATTTGACCAACAGATAGTCATGGGAATATGCATGATAAGTGACTCTATGCATGTAAAGGCCAATATAAATAATTATCCAGTCTGAAAATTAGTCAGCACAGTTACAGGCAAATATTATGTTAGCTTATATTACAAAACAAATCAAACAGGTTTGCAAATAAGTTTGACAACTTTTAAAGCTTTATTGTATAACCTTATTGGCACTGTACATGATTATTTAGAATTTAAACTAAACCTATCTTAGCTAAAATGATACATAAATCAAATTTGACCTGTTACCTAAAACAAGTATACTTTCTTAAGACTATTTATACATCTTCGTGTCTTAACAATTTAAACAATTTAATATGTAAAACATTGTGTTCTTTTATATAAAGGAAATCAATGTTTAGTTCACGTAAAACATATTATGTACAACATACGATTTACATATTTCAATTCTAGTCATACATTTCTAACCATTCATAACATTATATTATCTTTTTAGGTTCATATTAGAAGTATTTACAACATGATTCTAATTTAACAATAATAGAAAATAAAAGTATGCAAATCATTCATATATTCAACTTATTTTCATTATTATTTTAGTTCATCCCAAAAGCTAATACTATCACGGTGGTAATGCGACCTGGTATAGGATTCATTATTCATTATTCTCTTTTAGGATTATTTTTGACGAAAACAAACACGATTGACAAAACATGAATAATATAAGAAATTGCCAACATTTGCAGCTGATGAGAAATAAAATAGTCTGTCTTTAATAGTTTACGGTAAAAAAGTATATAAATAGTTTACTATGCTTATTACAAAATTAACTCGAAAAAAAGGAATTTGGGGATGGCCAAGAGTGGTACCTAACATGACCAAAGGGTGCTAGGATAGAATAAAAACTGTGGATGTATTAGAGGAGTAAATTCATATAACCACAGGCTATAGACCAATAAAGGTTTATTGTCCGTGGTATAACTAAACTGGCATAATTACTTTAAATTTTATATGGTTAACAGTGTACCAAATTTGTACACTGAAATAAACTTAAGTGCTTTAAACACTAGGATTTAGCTTAATTTAACTATTGGTTTAGTGTAAAATGCTTTAGGTATTAAGAATAAGAAACCAAAAAGTCATTCATCAGAGTATCAGAATCATCCGAAACGAGAACTTTATATCAGATTTAGCTAAGGGAACACTATCCCTCAGGTATCAGGACATCTGTAGAAGTAAGGAGCTGAGCTTTTCTTCATCGGTGAATTCCAACCCTAACTGTAGAGATACAAGGGACCTTGGTCCAGTGGACACATTGACTCCTTCTCTGGTCGAACCTCATGCCCTTGGGACACAGGAACGACTCCTTCTGTCCAGTGGTATGGCACAGGTGGAAAACCTGAAACAGGAAATTATATTGAGTCGCTAATGTACTGAATGGGGAGATAGGTTTTGCCCTAGACAGTGATAGCTGTTGGACAGTTTCCCAACGAACCATTTTGGAGCCCCTGTATTGTTTGATACAAATTAAAATAAATCATTGGTCTTCTATACATATTTGATATACGAAGTAATAAAAATCTACATTATTATTTTAATTGAGCGTGTAGTTGGGACAACGACATAGAAGTGTTGTTTATTTACGTCTTCCAGGTTTCCTCAGTTTGATGACCTATCAAAACCGAACAACAAAAATACTGTACTTGGCTCATTAATAAAGAAACGTGTGTGACATTTTTAAATTGTTAATAACACAGTATAAACAAGAAACTAAAATTGGCTTGACTTTTTCAACTAACAACAACACTACATTATATTGTTGTGTATTATATATGATCATTTTCCTTTCCTCATGTTCGTGATATGTACTCACAGAAAATCATACACGATAAGGTACATAGTTGTGAATATGTTATATACTGTACTAATAAAATTATGTTTCATTTAAGTCGTGCTTACAATATGATCTCTTAATATCTGAATCATGTTTCCTAAATAGAATAACTTTCTCTTCTATAATTAATTGTCACCAAGTGTTTCGAATTTTAAATACTCTCTGTCCCTTTCTCCCATCAATTAAAGGTTTCATCGGCCCCATGATAACAGGCACAGAAGAATTATTACTCAGCTCTCAGCAGTTTGCATTTTCAATGACAGTACGAGCAGACATAGGATGAGTTACAGTTTGGAACACTCCTTCTACCGCCCACTTTGAGAAAGTACCATCTTCATGCAATAGTACAGACACTGTTATACTGACGCTGTAAATACGCCATATCTGCTGTAACACCATGAATTATACTTCCTTTCTAACACGCTCGCTGCTGTAACATGGATAAGATGTCTTGTCAAAGCTCTCATCTTATTGACTAGCTTTGTTATGGTGTAAAGCTCACTTTTATTGCGATTGATCGTAAGGAATTATTGCCTCCACCTTGAGGCTTCTTTTGAGACTACTTTCCGATTGTTGCGTCTCCTTGTAGGCATTGTATAATCAGAGAGTTTATGCGTTTCTTCAGTCATTAACTTTAAGTGACTTCCTTAGACACTTTTAGTGACTATAGTTCGGCCGCTTAGAAAACGACCTGCGCGCTAATGCTAAACCAATGCTGGAGGAGGTCGCTTTCTAAGCGGCCGAACTATAGCTATAAATTTGAGCTGTGCTTGAATATACATAGTTTTTGAACTCAAAATACATTTTGCCGTCTATGAGAATCATATTCAAAGAACCAAAGACTTTGGGAACAATTAACGAATAGTTGAACTAGTTGACATTAATTGTTGTTCCACTATTTTAAACATAGTACCTATTTATAACTTGTTTGACATTTTCTGCCGTTGTTTGTAACTTGTGTTTTTCGGTCGATAATACTGTTTGCAATCTAAAAATACCCCCACCGCAGCTAACCTGCAGACTAAGCAAATTTCAACTGATCTGATAACATTTTTTTCTCCATAATAATAACATGGGGATTTTAAATTTACGTGACCTACGGTAATAGCTTATTCCTTATATGAAAAATTCGCTTAAATAAAATGTAAAGCTTAACTAGACATAAATTAAGTTTGCAAATCTAAAAACTGGTATCCTCACAGGAATTTGTTTTACACCTCATCGCAGTGTTTGACCACGGAGGTGTTGAATGTAATATGAACATAGTAATTTTATGCACGGTCAAGAGAGTATTTTTTATATTTCTTTGGTGAGTTTGGGAGGAACATAAAATTATGAGTTCAACTAAATTGAGATTAAAGAAGAGATTTTGTTACTTTCCTAACACAGTAACTAATTCCAGAACAGATTAAATGGTACACAAGTAATACATCAATTTACAGAATTGCTCTAAAAAATGTTAAAAGGTGAACATAATAATAATAGCATTGCCTCAAAAATCGAAAAATGTCCTATCCCTGGAACAATCCTCTTAAAATCAATCTTAAATTCTAGACGTCACCAATAATATAAATGTATTCCCTAATTTATGTCCGCAGTAACACGATAAGCTTGCATATTAAATAGCTCAGAACCCAGAACCTTACATCACGACTCATTTAAACTTCATGTGCTCCAGGTGGATTTATTAGGCAGACATTTCCCGTAGTTGACAGCGGCGCGGGTGTTTCCGCTCTCTAATGTAAGTGGTCTCTAGTCTCTACAAGTCTCTGAATGATGTCTCCGAGTCTCTACACTCCACGGTCACCGTCGCCCTGCTGGAGCTCTCACTCCATACACTCCACAACTCCACTCAGCAGGGTCAAGGGTCGTGAAACTCCTTCATCTGTCTTCGCCGCCGGCATAATTAACATTCTAACCACACCCACCTGTCTCCATATTTACTTAGTGATTACAGCTTACTTATGCTGTATAATTGCAGTTTTGCTTTGCTTTCCGTATTTGAGATGGTCATATGGCGTCTTCCTATGTTAGAGCATAGGTGCAATAGTTTATCTTAAAGAGGTGTTCGTTTTGTCTTTGAAAAATTTTTACTGTTGAAGCACTAAAATGGATTGTTGTGATTGCCGTTTTATACCATTTTTGCCGTGTGACTTTAATGAATCTAAACTTAGTATTTGACACAACAGTCTTGCTATACGTTCCATAGATAGAGTGCGAATTTGATTAATAAAAAGACTGCATGCTCGAACACAAGACTTCGAGGAGGGGTGATCGATTCACTACCATTTGAAATAAAAAGATATTTTTATGGTAAGCTAAATACATAACCATACACAGGAGACATTGCATTTGTAACGCCTGAGACGAAGGATATTAAGATTGGTTCAGCGTGAATGTTCACTTCAACAATTATAAGGGATACAATTAAAAATACTAAATCCATCCAAATTAATCTAATTTAACTAGCAATATATTTTACTATCTATTCACATATGAATTTTTTATTTGACTGATAAGATTGGAACAGCATTAATTCTGTTACGCCAGAAGAATCATAGGCTCTTGGGTTAATGAATCTAAAGTCATTTATACTACACAAAACAGACTACTGATTTTTGTTCATTATAACATAATCTTATTAAAGGGCCCTTAAGGACTGAGGCCACCTGCACGGGTCACAAAGAACGCTATTATTCAACGGTCTACAAGAGAGTGCTAGTTCCTAGAGGAGGACCTGAGATGACGTCACAGTTCGCACATTACTCAGCTGTTTGTAGCCAGACGGGTGAAAGGTGGAAACACAAGAGTCCAACCATATTTATTCTCCTGAATTAATCTTTGACCTGGAATATTTCCTGTGGCCACAACTTAAGTTTAGTAAAAGTGGACTTGAGAAATTAAAGTAAAATGAGGTGTTAGAAAATTATGTATTTAAGGATAATCGAAGGAGCAGTGTCGACATTTTTCTTTTACCAGAGAATCTGGTATAAGATTACAGACTGTAAAAATAAAATAGCATTGACAGTGTATTTAGTTTTTTTTCTATCAAACTAAGGCACTATACAGAATTTAGTGTAATGAAAAAATATATAAAATTAAAAATCGATATTCGTCTGTGGTGGTTCAAAATAGTAAAAAGTGGAAACCAGTAAATTCAAGAAGGGGTTTATGGATAACATTGAGGTGATGAATGTACGTGTTTTTTCCTAACATAGTATCATATTTCATTAGGACTAAATAGTGAAGACTACAGTATATCAACATAAAATAATGCACCAAATGGAATCCTCCTCGGATAAAACGTTGATTCTTGGAATGTTTTGTTAACTGAACTTGATATAAAAGTTTATATTTTCCTTCCACTCAAACATTTGTATGCTCCACTGAAACCAACTAATGCTAAGTAATCGTCTTCAATTTCCTTTAGATGTTTTCACGCAAATCATCACCAAAGGACAGCTGAAATCCAAAATTACACCCCTAAAACATTAAACAAAACTGTTTGATTATTGCTTTCAAAATAGCCAATCTTGGGCCGACCGCAGATATGATCGTGATAACATCACTCCAGGTACAATACGGTCCGTGGAGACGTGGAGAAAGCAAGGAAAGTGTTGCGATTGTCAAGTCTTGAAATACGCAAACAATCACCAATTGGGGAACTCGAGAGATCTGAAGACCAATGTGTGTCGGATCACGCAGCAAAACACTATACTGAACACTTCCACAGATATCTGAAGAGGACAAAGTCCTTGAAGAGACCAAGGGGGCGACCCCCTGAAACTTGAAGATCACGTTACATCAATGAACGGTACTACTGATGACCAAAGCATCTCCATGACCAAACGTAGGGGATTGAACCTGCAAAAGTTTTAGTATCCAGTTGGTACCCCACAGTTGATAATTTAAAATATACCATTTTGATCTTTTCAACAGCAGTTCTAAACTCATTCATCCAAGTTTGTGTAAATTAATATTAGGGAAGACTTTTGTATGTACTTTTCTATGAATGCTGCCTGGCTTGTGTATTAAGATTATTATGATATGGACGGAAAATATCATTTTTTAAATAGTCTGGTACGGAAGTATGTTCCTTGTCCCTACTACCCCAGCACATCTAGTGCTAGTGACACGGGGCCAAAATCACAGTATAGGGGTCGAGATCGTCTTCATAAAATAAATGGACTCCGAAAATGAAATAAAACTTTTATATAAATTTCCATTTTTGTATAACCTAACTTAACCTAACCCCTATATCTGTGGTTTTGGCGTGGTGTCACTAGCCGAGTGGTTATAGTGCAAGCCTTCAACTATGAAACTGTCTGTTTTAATTCCAGAGTTCTGGGCATTAACAGTTGAAGAATTTAAACAAGTTACATAAAATGTCACAGATAGCAATGGAACTTCAAACTTGCCCACCTGACAGCTGGTTTCCGCGTCAGCCACCATCTTGCCCTTGTCTGAGCCGCAAACAAACGTAGTAGCGGGTATGGCAGTAAGGCCAGGATACTGCCCGGTACTGGGCAACTGCATGAGGTACTGCCCAGTGCTGCTTGGCTGGGCAGTATGTTGGCTAGTGCTGGGTGACTGGTGCTGGGTTGAGCTCACCACCGGCTTGCGCCCCGCCTGGCGGAGAAACCGAGACGGCGTCTCGTCGAACAGGTGGCCGAAGCCTGTCCATATCTGAAAGAAAAACGGATTTGTCACTCAAAATAGATAGACGACACAAATAAATCAACTAAAATGTGGAAACCTTGCAGGAAAATAAAATATAAAATTATTAGAGGGATTTTATAACCCTATCCCCTACCATATTGTAACTGTTTTTATAACCAAGGTTGTGCCATCTGCTAGCTGGAAAGTAGTTTTATTTTAACTATTCAAATCTCTACTAATCTTTTTTACAACTACCAATCAATCAAATTTTTCACAACCATAACAACAGATAACAAATTACACCAGTTTAGTATTAGCAGATTTCTGGTGCTGGTGTTCTATCCAGAAAAAATATCCTTACTATTTGTGATCATGAAATCTTCTTTCTAGAGTGTTTTGTGTACTGCAGTGCGCTCTGATGTCACCAGAAATACTAGTTTAAGGCCAGTCTATTAAAAGCAAAATTCAATAGGTAATTTGTACTCATAAAAGAAGAAAATACGAAGTGAAACAAGAATAGAAAGAGACGGAAGGTCTACATAAAAACTCTGTATTTATCTGTTATTAAATGTACAAATGTCGTCACTGTAAGCACTACTGTCTGAGTCACCTTGTAAACGAAATACAGACTGACCTAAGTATTATCAATTCAACATTTGGAAATTACAACTCGTAAACCCCGTAGGTTAAAAGCTCCCAACAGACAACACTGTCCGAATCACTCATAGCTCACGGCTAATTTAACCCACGCCACCTTGTTGCTCGCTGAACAGTTTCAACACAATATTAATGAAACCCATTTGCGTTGGGTGGCGCAAACGAATTTACAAAACGCAAATAGTCGTTGGATAACTCATCGTAGCGTGTCGCGTCGGTCAGCAGATGAAATTCACTTTGTGATACGAAAACAGCGCAATTGTTGTTCTTATGTAGGCGAGGGATTGGAGCGAAAGTGAGGACTATTACAGTGGATAGCTTCCTATAGATAATCGTACACCCGCGCCGCTTCTCCCCTCTCACTCTGGACGGTGAGTACAGTAGTCTACTGCGACTGCGCAGTGTTGATGACATATGCTCCAGCTGAGAGTGCGCTGTAGTCATGCGTGATGCTATCCTACTAATATTATAAATGAGAAAGTTTGGATGTATGGATGTATGGATGTATGTTTGTGACAAGTGAACGCGAAAAATACTGGTCGGATTGGGCAGAAATTTGGCATGATGATAGCTCACATTCCCGATTAACATATAGGCATATTCTTATTTCAAAAATCCTTTCGGGCTCCGCCCCAGTGGCTCTGGAGTTTCCCATGTTAACCTTATGAGAAATGGAATTATTGAATCTTAACAGCTGTTTCAATTAAACAAGTTGGTTCTGTTCTATGATGTTCAATAGCATTAAAGTTACAAGGATTACCAACAGGGTGCAGCACTATTATTTCTTTTACACTTATGACATCAGCTAATTTGCAACCAAAAGGTGAGTGAGCGTAGCGAACGAACTTCAACCTGGAGGCGAGTTAGCGTAGCGAACGAGCTAACCTGAAGGCAAGTGAGCGCAGCGAACGAGCTCCAACCTAAAGGTGAGTGAGCGTAGCGAACGAGCTCCAACCTAAAGGTGAGTGAGCGTAGCGAACAAACTTCAACCAGGACGTGATTGAGCCATGCGAACGAGATAATCTTGAAAATTAAGAAGTTAAACGGGGCAAAGCCCGCGGGTTACAGCTAGTATCTTATATTTAAAACAAATCGTTTATCACGCACAGATTTCACATCATGCATCGGCATATATTTATCTACAGTCCCACTCGGCTTATACGTAAACGAAATTTGCTCCCCATGTATTTCTTGTGGGAGTCAAATTTGGGTTTTCTGGTTGTTCTACCAGAACGAATTTCATGATTGAGGTCTCAAATTGAAGGTATGCACAGACAGATTTCACATCAAACATCGGCTTATATTTTTCTACTGTACTACTCGACCAAAAACATAAATTTGATTTATTTTCGAATTCTGACTTCAATTTTAGACGTATTTCACCAGTTATAATTATAAAACCTCATATATATTTTAGTCTAAGAACCTTCAGAGAAATACCGGCTTTCATTTAAGCTATTAGTTATTCAAATCGGACGAGTTTCAAGCAATCGCAAGGTGAACAACCAACATTAAAATTATTTTTTATAAAGTGTTTCTATGATTCAAAATCAAGAGATCCAGTATTGTTTATTATTTTATATGCTTTAGACTATAAATAACCAGTAAAATTATAGGCTTTAATTTTAGCTATTGATCGTTTGAATCAGTTGAGTTCAATATACTGTATTACTCAATCAAAGTCAGCCGATTTACTGGAAGCGGGTATTATACTGTCCCATTGAAAACAACCACTGAACCACTGATCAACAAAGGGCTACCAAGCCTTTTCTCAAAGTTACTAAGCATTTTCTCAGTCGTTACCCAAACTTATTTTGTCTTGTCTGCTGGCACAGACTATAGACAACACCATGCTATCCATTGTCTGGGCGTACTGCTGGTCAAAGTCACATAAAAAGCAAGACACGGCGTTAGGTATGCAATATAGGTACAAAAGTTGCCGAGCGGGTTGCCGCCTCCGCCTTGATAATATGGCTACTAAGCTTTGTAATGTATGTGCTTTAAGCGTTGATTGTATCATAAATTAATTGACTCTTCGTTTTACTGTTTTAAAACGAACAGTAGGCCTAACTACAATTTCTAACTGACCGTAATCCAGCCAATAGATCATTTATAAATCGCAATTATTTTTCATTTATGCTTAATACTTTGACCTAGAGTAAATTTGTTATTGCAATCATTTTCTTATAATTCACTTACTTTCCAAACAAATATGTGTAGCCTACAACTCAGAGAAATCAGTTTAAGTTGAGAATGATTACTGAACAATTCTCATAGTTTTCTGCATCAAATATTTTGTAAACACATTTTCGTTTAGAATTGCTCCAAAATAGAGAGTAAAAATAACAATAAAATAGTGCCAGCTACACTTATCTTTTACTTTATGGTAATACTAGCTGTACCCACGGGCTTTGCCCCGTTTTACTTCATAAGTGAGCTCGTTCGCATGGCTCAACCACGTCCTGGTTGAAGTTCGTTCGCTACGCTCACTCACCTTTAGGTTGGAGCTCGTTCGCTGCGCTCACTTGCCTTCGGGTTAGCTCGTTCGCTACGCTAACTCACCTCCAGGTTAAAGTTCGTTCGCTACGCTCACTCACCTTTTGGTTGCAAATTAAGCTGTTGTCATAAATTTAAAAAAAATAATAGTGCTGCACCCTGTTGGTAATCCTTGTAACTTTAATGCTATTGCACATCATAGAACAGAACCAACTTGTTTAATTGAAACAGCTGTTAAGATTCATTAATTCCATTTAAATATGAGTACTCATAAGGTTAACATGGGAAACTCCAGAGCCACTGGGGCGGAGCCCGAGAGTCCGATCAGAATAAAAACAACTTAGTTTTCCTATTTAATGCCTAAAGAATCAGTGTACCAAATTTCAGCCTCCTAGGTAAATGGGAAGTGGGAGAATTAGTGATGAGTGAGTGAGTGAGTGAGTCAGTCAGTGAGGGCTTTGCCTTTTATATATATAGAATAATGAAATACTTTCAATCAAAAGTGTTATATGAACCTTGGGACTTCATTTTCATAGTGTAAACATTGTAATTCAATGATGGACAAGGGGTTAAATATTTCTGTCGTGTTTTTGTCATTTAAAACTTCTAATGAACTCCACCGTGAGAGCACACAACTATTTCCGCAGCACAAAACAGCTGTAGTTTACACAAATTATCGTTCTGATAATACACAAGAGGTAGATATTGTCACAAGTGGGATGATTAAGAATTCTCCCCCTCCCTACCATCACTTTAGTTATCTGTACAGTAATCTCATCAGTCGTTATAAATCGTTATAAATTTCGTTTTTTTTTTTTATAAATCGTGTCGTTATAAATTTTACTTAAGACCGTTTTTTAACCATTTCAATTCAGTTCTTAGAATTGAAATACATTCACTACACAGTATTGTTAAATAACAGCATTGTTTTGTTACTTTTAGTCCAGTCAAGGAATGAGGTGTAGAGTGCGTGAGCAGGTAACTAAGCGATTCCTTCAGAAACTTGTTCAGGGGGCTTAGGGTGTTAACATACCAAAAGTCCTGACTCCTAGGTGGTGAGCCAGGGGGTGGAGGGGGGAAAAAGGGGGGGAGAAAGGTACGCATTTTGGGTTTTTTGATTATATCTCGAAAACTATCAACTTTTTGTATACTATAGTAAATTATAAAATTGAAGATGATTAAATTTTCTACAAGAAAAGTATATAATGTGTTTATTTTGGTTCAACAGATTACGAGTTATAACTTATTTAATTGATATCTTATTAAAATACTCCTTCCATAAGAAATACATGTAAATTAGTATGCGAAATGGGGCGAATCCTATCCGCCCAAAGGAAATATAACTGATATTCTGGAAATCTTGACAAAATTTCCAGTAATTTGACACTTTAATCATTAAAATTGATCCAAAATTAAGGCGAGGGCGAGGTAACAAAATGTCGAGGTTTGGTGTTTTTTTATTGGAAATATAAAAAAAACCTTAAATCATCCCATTTTTAAACGCTCACCCTCGCTTTAATTTTTGACAAAATTTCATGATTAAAGTGTCAAATTACTGGAAATTTTGTCGAGATTTCCAGAATATCAGTTATATTTCCTTTGGGCGGATAGGATTCGCCCCATTTCGCATACTAATTTACATGTATTTCTTATGGAAGGAGTATTTTAATAAGATATCAATTAAATAAGTTATAACTCGTAATCTGTTGAACCAAAATAAACACATTATATACTTTTCTTGTAGAAAATTTAATCTTCTTCAATTTTATAATTTACTATAGTATACAAAAAGTTGATAGTTTTCGAGATATAATCAAAAAACCCAAAATGCGTACCTTTCTCCCCCCCTTTTTCCCCCCTCCACCCCCTGGCTCACCACCTAGGAGTCAGGACTTTTGGTATGTTAACACCCTAAGTCCCCTGAACAAGTTTCTGAAGGAATCGCTTAGTTACCTGCTCACGCACTCTACACCTACTTTTGGATCATTCATTGACTGGACTACTTTGTAGTACAAGTTTGTACCAATGAAGTTCAAGGATTGAGAGAAAATAAGTAAAATTGCAATGCGTTGAACATTAACTTATCAGCTGTTAAGGCCAATTTAATTTATTATACAATGAGTGAGTGGCTGGGACAATGAGTCGTTGCATTGCAATCAGTGGCAATGAGAGGTTATAAAAGAAAACTTAACCTCAAACGTTATGAGTAGTGATTGTTGTTAATAAAAAAAAAAACAGTCATAGGTAAAGTAGTGTACGCAACTCGTGTAATTAGCCTCTAAGACACTCATAGATGTTTTAAAGGTACTTGTCAAGGCACGTGTCTTAAGTGTCTACTGGTTTCTTAAAGACTATCTGTATGAGATCGTTACTACTATAACACCACTAGCGTTTAGTGGTGTGACTCTCCTGTTGTTTGGATTCTTCTTTAATCCCTTTCTACACGCTATCATAAACAACCTGACGTAAACCATATTTGCTATTTTGACTCTCACCGTGGCGCCAGGCAGCTGTGAGGAGTAGAGACTGTCTATATGGTTGGTGAAGGTGATGATGTCCTCGTCAGTGACGGGAGGACGGTGAGGGAACAGCGTGCGGTGAGGGATGGTGAGTGGCACCTCGATGGTTTTGTGTGGAGGGATGATGAGGCTCTGTGCGTTCCCCCAGGGTGGGCGGATGATGTAGGTGGACTCCACTAGGTTCTCGAAGGGGTAGTGACCCTCTGGTGGTGCGTACCTTGAGAGGAAACATCACATGATAATAGTTGAGAATAATTAATAGTGTAATAATTAACTGTGTAATAGTTGAAATAGTTGAGAACAAAATGGACAGCATTAAATTGGAAGGGTCATAAAAGGGATTTTAAGTCCGAAATTACCCGAAAAGATGTACGTGGTCTGTCTTTCTGAGCTGAACATTATATCTGTAGATGATCAAGGATTAATGAGAGTGGTCAACAGTTGACCAATTTTACCAGTCAGGACAACCACTTCTCAGTGCATATTAAAACCTCGTGTGACAAAAAGAAAAATGAAACAAAAGTGAACAAATTTCTTGCACTCAGCATTTGCATAATTTACTATTGAGATTGGGAATTTTGAAAAGGTTGGTTTCCATCTATCAGGAAGTGGAGTTTTGTTTTTGCTTTTGCATGGTGTAAAAATAAGTAATCGGCGAAATTTGAGCTAATCTACTGGGAAATGTCTTGCACTCCAATAAACAAACCGATCTTCACCACTGGTGATTTCAAATAAATCCATTTAAGTTACACCACATAGAAATTTGAATTATAGAGTGGGTACTGGAGCTTTCAGAGTAATATAGATACTCCGAGATCCATACGAATCACCAAGAGAATGGCAGGAGAATGTTGTAGGAAGGGAATCGCCGGTTCTTCATGGGCGAGCGCTAACTCATCGTAAACCTCAGAAGCATTCACAGATAAACCTTTGACCTCTGACCTCTGCCAGAGGACGTGGTCAGCCGGGATGACAAGGCAGTAATTCCCTCGTTACGTAGCCCAACCTATCTCTCATCTACTAGACTAGAAGCAGCGTTTGTCACTGACAGATTTGCGATTTACGTGAATTTTAGTTTCAGATGTTGCATTATTGGCTAAATTTAAGAAGTTTACTACAATGGTGCCCGATGTATTAGATACGTACGAAAACTGAGACCTATGTGCGAACTGGTTATCAGGTTGTGTTGGTTTTTAGTTAAAGTTGATTCAATTAGATTAATACATTTCAGATATTTTGTAAAGCATGGATGTTTTTCAATGCAGTAAGATACCAGCCGCATTTTAAGATTCTTCTATTTTAAATTGCATTACAATGTTAGATTGAGCAAGGTTGTTAGTGTATATTTTGTTATTTCTTATATTAATTTTAATCATTGTAGCATCAGCTGTGGTTCATATTTGTTTAGGTTTACTTTTAATTCAGCATATTAAATCATTTCATTCAGAATACAAGAACCGGTTATCTAAAATCTTATTCTATCTCATAATTTAATCTCATTATTCGACAGTTAGTTTGTCCTCAGTAGGGAATAAGTATTATTATCCTAACAGTTAATCAAATACAAGTAATTTAAATGGGAACCTAGTTCATTCTTACATTGGAAAATAAATGTTTATAGACTTAATTTTATGAGATATCAAGTGAAAATATGATGGAACTTAATTATCATCCTCTATATTGTAGTATAATTTCTTCTTTATTCCCCATGACGCCGACAACCATGGTTCGTCAAAGAAAGAATGAGTAAAGAAAGAGTGTTGAATGAATAATATAAAGCTTCATTACGAAAATCAGCTGCTTCCAGCTGCCAGTACCATTTGTTTAAAGCCCAATGATCAAGGTGTGCTGGGTTCAGGTTTGAATGTAACTGCTCGAGAGTGACACTTCTCCTCCATAGACGAATCCCAAGAGAATTAATCTCACCATAGAATAATGAGTAGACTCTATTTGTCTACTCTTTGTTCTATGCTATTCTCATCTAAGCCCACATAGTGACTCACCTGCCGTCAGGATGCTGCACCAGTTTGACTATGCTGGCTGCGATGGCAGGGTCATGTCTATGACTCGAGTGATGACTCTCTCGATGACGCTGCTGCAGCAGTACTCCGTCAGGAACGCTGATTCCCTCCTTGTTGAGTCGGTTCAGCGCCAGGCGGTCCGTGCGGAACGCGTCCTCAGGGATCTTGCCACCCATGTGGGGTGACACTTGCTCCCGGAAAATCTGACGTTTGTGTGCCTGGAACATGGGAATGGGGATTAGTGTTGATAATAGTGTGATTGATGTTTGTAACTGAACAGGATAATTCGATTTATTATTTCATTTGAAGATAGTACGATGGTACAAATGGATTATTTTTTTACATGAAGCTCTTTTGGTCAATGTTTATTTCCTTTTGGCGAACAACAAAATTACAGTGTAATAATGTTGCTGGTTGTGATTTTTTAAGTGATGGTACTTTGGCATTACATGTACCGACTACACCTAATAATTATAACCTGACCTAAACTATCCTAACCTAACTTAACCTAACCTAACGGTGGACTATGTTTTAGGCTAGGTTAGGTTAGGAAGATATTGTTATTTAAACTAATTAAAATCTTATTTAGAGGTTGATTTATCGGTGTGGTCGGTATAATACCAAAGTACCTAAGTGATAAAAAAAATATATATTCATTTTAATGGAAATATTTCAATTTTTTTTATTACAAGGACGATGATTGGCAATATACGGGCAGAACTTGAATTACCATAATAGGGCTACTCAATTCATCTATGCATTCGTTGGAATTTTTGAAGGAAAAACACAAATAGCCGAAGTATGAAAACACTTTAGAACAGACCACTATGAACAGGGGCATCTGTTATGCAGAATTATTTACCAATCAATTTGAGAATCTCCCACGATATTATATTTCTTATTTTCAAAACACACAGCCCTAATTTACAATCAGGAATGTGAAAAAGTTATGACGAAGATGCTGCTGCAACGTCTGCCCACTCGCACGCGCCGCCTGGTCTAGTTTCGTAATTTGATTAATGGCTTCAGTTGTGTTTAGGCACAATTACGTCAGCCTTGCTCGTCTTGCTGACAACTCTATTACTCTGTCATCAGTCTAACAACGCCCAAACATCATTAGTTCTTCATTTAGACTGACTTCGACGTGAATAGACACTGTCATTAGTCATTGGATTGCAATTGCGTTAGATCTTTTCTTTTTGTTCATATCGTATTGCAATAAGATAATCGCCTGATGTAATCTACATAGGTTTTACATTAGGTAATTTTCAATATTTAAATGAATTTGAATTAAGATAGAACATAGAACTTACTTTAAGTATGGAATTTAAAAGTTCTGCGCTCAAATTATGATTTGACCCTGGTTCGGGCATTCAGCTTGGAGTTCAAAGTACTTTTGGGAAGTCCAGCTTGTTCAAAATATAGTGGCGTCTTCTAAGCTCAATAACGCATACAAAACGGAGTCACTCAGTGATTATATCTATATGATAACAATATCAGGACGAAAAGACTTTCCATGGAAGAAATAACGTAATAAAAAATACAAAGATATTAAGTGATGGTAACAAACGTACAGGTAATAACAACAAATCAAATTTGATCAATGCTTCAAAGTAAATTTGTAAAGACACTATATGGCTAAAGGGAGTTCGGAGACCTTGAAGATACAAATCCGCTCTTTAACAACTACACCAGCTGTTCCCTATTATTCAAATGATAGCATTACGATGTTTCTGTTGTTACATAAACTCACTACTCTCACTTACAATGCTTGAGTCTCTACACTGTAAGGAGATATAGTACTAATTTCTAGTCGAGGGAGTAATATTATTTTAAACCAAGGAAACGACCAAACACGTTTCCATCATAAAATATGATATCACTCTTGAGCTAAACCTGTAATGATCTCAAATTCGGTTAGCTAAGTTATCAGCTAAAACATTATCAGATCATGAAACCCGTTGTTGTTCAGATGTTTTGTGCAAAACGAGGACACGTGAACCAAGAACCGATTTCCTTTTTCCTAAACGCTTACTCAGATCAGCAGCAGCCCAAAAAAGAAGCCTAAATCGTTTGATTGAGTAATAACCCCTCGTTTAGTTTAATTTCGTCAGCTTAATCCTGAAATCGCCTAAGCTCAAAAGAACATGGATCGAAAGTCACCTTGTCATCTGCAGGGGATTATCCTACACGACCAGCATAAAACGTTAAACACTCGACCCAGTGTTTATATTCGAGTCCATTCGTGAGAGGTGAATCGTAAGATCGGGACTGGTTCTTTTACGAGATTAGCTCCTCTGTTGCGTCAGAACGACCAGTTACGTTAGACAATAAAGATGAGAGCACAGCCTCCTATTAATTGACAGGAACTATACGCCAGAGTGGGCTGACTAGGGTTGGGAGTTGCGGCAAGTAAATTGGAGGATCACACGAACCGGTTGTAAAATTAAACTAAACAACAGACCGTCAAATGAGCTGTAAGCGGGAACAATTGTTATGAGGTGTTGTGTTTTGTTCAGATAAGTGGAGAGAGAAACACGTTGGTTTTCTTAAGTCACTTAGTTGCTGACTGATGCAGAAAAAGTCTTTGACAACAGAGTTGGTGTCTGTGTAAATTGTAATTAATTAACTACACAATTGTCATTTTTTACGTTTTTCGAATTGGAAAGTTCCCTGGTTTTGTTCCAGTCTAACGCACCAATCTCTACAAACAACCTTTGACCATCACAACTCTAACGTGACCTATCATCATTTTAATTGATTGACAAAGGAAATATTTTGAGTCCAGAATCGGCCTCGTTAGTACTTGGACCAGCAGCCTTAAAGTTTGAAGGCAAGCAGTAGACCTATAACCATTTGATAAGTGGCAACTTTTTATGGACATTCTAAACTATGGATATTGTTAAGTAACACCAAGTGGTTTGAACTATTTACACCTTAAGGTTTTTTGTAATACCATACACCAAACAAAAACAAAGAAAATAATCTAACTCGGTCGGTTCAGTTATCATACTCCGAACAATACGATTAATTTGGGTTTACCTTAAAATTATTTTATTTACTCAAGTCTTGCAAGTTTCTATTGTAACAAATTTAAATGAACGAATTCAATTTCAATCAAAGGTGAGAAAAAATATTATATTTTTATGTTGATAATGTGTCGTTAGGTTGGCAAGTTGACCCTGTAGGTTTGAAACATTAGATTTATTTTAGACTAGACCACATTTCTAAATATTTAACTTCTAGGTTCACCACTGGAGCCTGGAATCCAGAGTGTTGCCATGTAGCACCGTGGAAATGGAGAAAGTAGTAAACAAAATCGGACGTGATATTGGTATTTGAATTGCCATTGTGGACATGCTTTCCAAACCTCTACGTTTGGGAGATTGGTAGAGAAAGATATAATAGACGAAAGAAAGATTATTTTTTAAATATTAAATTAATTGAAAGTGGCTTATTACAGCTCTAACGTGATCTTTTGTGACTTATAATCATTTTAATTGCTTGACAAATGAAATATTTTGAGACCAGAATCGGCCTATTTAGTACTCAAACCAGCAACCTTCAGGGTGAAATTTCATTAGTTTGTGTATATTTATTAGTTCGTGGTTTGGGTAATTGTTTGCGCAATCCTTTCAATCTCTGACATGCCATCGTTATAATAAAAAACTAGTGTCCCTGTTGCTCGAATTCGAGCAATTGCTAAGTATTAAAGGCGTTATTTTAAAACGAATAACAGTCATAATTTCTTATGACTTTAAAAGATTCGACTCAAAGATTTTGGAAATACTCATGATGTAGGTACATAACAGATCGATATAATCACAATTTCTTGTAAATATCTTATAATTTTTTTAAAAGCTGATCTTTTTTTTTAGTGTTTTCTACAAATAGCCTTACTCATAGCCGCATTAGGCTGCCCATAATAACATTACAAATTTTAAAAAAACATTTCTATTTCTTCTCCTCGGTGGTGTTCAATGACTTTCCTATGTTTCCATAGTTTGCAAATGGCCTCTTTCAATGATTAATAAGAAATGCAGCACAGTGTTAATTCAGTTTTCTTTTAGCGAATTTCCCATATAGGGAATAAGCTATTACCGTAGTACTCATGGTAAGACCTGGACGCGGGACCGATTTTTTTTTTCGTTTTGAGGTCCCTAGAGGCCAAAAACACCATCCGTTCAAATTCATATATATATATATATATATATATTTATATATTTATATATATATATATATATATATATATATATATGTGTCCGTCAGCACGATAACTCGAGCAAAAATGATCCGATTTGGATGAAATTTGGTACAAACGTGTAAACGTACGTTTATTCGAACGAGTTCGCGATCCAGCATGATCGGACCATGGGAACGGGGGTTTACGGGGGGTTTTATGGGGTAAAAATAGGTTTTTCCTATTTTTGACCCAAAAAACATAAAATTTAGCAATTTCTTTCCAAACCATTTTGTAGAGCTTAAAAAAAACAAATAATTTAGTATATTGAAGCGTTATTATGCGCCTAGTAGTTACGGAGAAAATTCCAAAAAATTGTAAATTTAAAATTCCCATGTTATTCTTATGGAGAATAAGTAAACTGTTGTAGTTTGCTTGTTTGTGAACATATTTTGATCAAATTTGGAAAATGTTTTTATTTCTCACTACCTATTCACATTTTACAAAAAAAAAGTTTTACCCTCCCTGATGCAGCAAACCTAAGTACTTGTTAAACTAATTCTATTTAAATCAAGAATAAATGTTATATTTTTAAGTAGACATTTCAGTGTAAATCCAATCAGTCAAATGGAAATTCGCTTAGTCTGCAGGTTTGCTGCGGCGGGGGTATTTAAGATATCAATTTATCCAGGCTCTCTCGCTTTTTTCCATTGTAATATTTACGCCAACCCAAATTTAAAACGGTAAACATTTCATTTCAACCAAGTCAGTAAATGTTTGTAGCAAACTGTTAAATTAGCAAAATTATTGACTGTTTACAATAATTAACATATGTTCTTCTCACTTTCAATTTCTGACAACAGCTGGAGTTTCATAACAATTTTTGTTTCCCATGTTAATCTTATGGAGAAATACGAAAGGGCCCCAGGGCTTCACTCTCTAATTATTTCCCTAAAAAGAAAGTTTCCTGCACAACTTCACGTTACGCTCTTTCCAATGAGACCAAGAACATGTCAATCGGTTCAGTAGTTTCGGAGG